TGAAAGTACAAAAGAGCCTGAGAAAACAGGTCCACATCATCCATGGTCACCTACCCTGTCATCATTACTGAAAGTATATATAACATACAATTCATTTAAAGTACAAAAGAGCCTGAGAAAACAGGTCCACATCATCCATGGTCACCTACCCTGTCATCATTACTGAAAGTACATATAACATACAATTCATTTAAAGTACATAAGAGCCTGAGAAAACAGGTCCACATCATCCATGGTCACCTACCCTGTCATCATTACTGAAAGTATATATAACATACAATTCATTGAAAGTACATAAGAGCCTGAGAAAACAGGTCCACATCATCCATGGTCACCTACCCTGTCATCATTACTGAAAGTACATATAACATACAATTCATTGAAAGTACATAAGAGCCTGAGAAAACAGGTCCACATCATCCATGGTCACCTACCCTGTCATCATTACTGAAAGTATATATATCATACAATTCATTGAAAGTACATAAGAGCCTGAGAAAACAGGTCCACATCATCCATGGTCACCTACCCTGTCATCATTACTGAAAGTATATATATCATACAATTCATTGAAAGTACATAAGAGCCTGAGAAAACAGGTCCACATCATCCATGGTCACCTACCCTGTCATCATTACTGAAAGTATATAACATTACAATTCACTGAAAGTACATATACAATTCTTTGCAAGTACATATATAGGGGTTATGCACTGGGAGGTTTTGGATACAGGGAATATCCCGAGGGATATTCCATGTATCCAAACCGACCGTGCATAACTGGTGTATCTCATACTTGAGTGGGTTTAGGGTAGATATAACCTTTTCCACCTTTTTCAAATGACAAGATATTTATATTTAACAATTTCGTAATATTCTTTTTGTTCAATACAATGAAATTGTAACATTTAAACTTAAAAAAAATTAAATTTTAAAATTAAAAAATTAAAACTTTTGATATTTAAACTTTTTTAAACTTTTGAAAAATTCCCGGGAGCGGGATGGATATATTATATCTGCCTGCATTTGGCCTGGAGCGGGACATATACAATATATCCTGCCCGCTCCTCAGATACGATATATATTGAATCCCGGGTGATATCTACCCCAAACCCACTCAAGTATGAGATACACAATTATTCATCGAAAGTACATACAACATATATAATTCTTAGAAAGTACATGTAATACACAATTCATAGAAAGTATATATTACATACAATTCATTGAAAGTAACATACAATTTATTGAAAGTACATTTACATACAATTTATTTTAACCCTTGACATTTTCATATTTGGGATGTGTAATTTATGTTTATTTTGCTTAACAATTTGGAATGCTACAATATATTAGTGTGTGGAGGTCTGACTGTGTTATGTTGAAGGTAGATCTCGAGCCAAGGGGAATTCAAATTTCTGAGTTTTATATTCTCGAACATATTATGAGTTACACTTTTCAATAAAACTCCAATAAACAGCTACATTTGTGGCCATTACGATCTCATTGGTATTAAAACTACTGTATGTGATTATCTGTCTTAAACTTTGGCCTCAGAGGGTAGTAATTCAACTAGCCACCAGACCTCAGGGTAAGAGTTAAATGCCAAGCAATATATTATCACAGTTGATAGTGCTGCCCCTTGAGCTATATTAGTAATAAAGGCAAGTTTTTACTAGTTTGATAACAAAGGGTAGATTTTAAAGAAGATCACAAGTCCGGATGTGTAACCCACAATAGATCAAGCAGATAGGACCATTAAAATGGTTCACCTGGAAACAACTCTAGACAAGACTTTACAGACAAGATTTTTGGAATGGATAACATTTACCCAGAATGTCCCAAAACTCATTTGCATGCCATACAAAGAATCATTTTACCATTATCTGAATTTTTGTGGATTGACCTGCAATAATAAAGAAAACTGGATAAATAAAAAAATGTTCCAATTTATATTGGCCCACCCTGTAGACTCAATTGTTTTAGTGCTAAAAATGGAAATTCATTTTAAATTTGCATCTCAAATACTTTAACATCCCTTACGCTGGACACCTTTGATGCGAGACCTGTATAAGCTTATAAATCATGAGCTAAAAGAATAATTTATTCTCATACACCCCCCCCCCCCTCCCCCCTTACACTAAAACACCACACCAGTACATCTAAAAAGAATGTTGCAAGATTAATGGTAAAGCTATATATGGTTTGTATTGCAATTAGCCTAGTATAGCCTCAAGAAACAGTTTACCATTATCTGCATGACTCATACAGATTCTAGGAAACTACACACCTTCTACTTTATAAAATGACCCACAGTATGAGCTTATAATATGTAATATCACTTTTGGATATTTTATTTTCACTTTGTTGAAACGCGCAGCTCAAAATATTTGGTTAAGTTTTTCCAATCTCATTTTCAAACAAAGTCATTGACATTTGCGTAATAAAGTTTTATGTTTCTTTGTGTTTATCACATTAATTCGATCATCTTGATCACTTTAAAATATGAGGACCTTTATTTTTCATTTCAGGCCAAAAAGAGTCCTCTATGAGCTTCACTGCCTCATTTTTAAGAAAACATGAGGGGCTAATAGCTTTTGAATGTCACTTTGAGAAGTACCCATACAGTTTTAAAATACTATAATTAGTTTAATTGAAAGCCCATGATACAGGTCAGGCCCGTAGCCAGGATTTGCCAAGGGGGGGTTCAGTTTTCCAAAATTTCCAGGGGGGATTCACATTTGACAATTTTGGCCCAAATATGGCTAAAATCACTTGAAAAGTGCTCAAAATGGTGAAAAACTGCATGATTTTGAAAGAATTTTTGGCCAGGGGGGGGGTTCGCCCGAACCCTGCGAACCCCCCCCCCTGGCTACGGGCCTGCAGGTGATTCAACAATACATCACAGTCTTGACTTCACTTAGTTTGTGTGCCACTTGTAATTTAGGAAGTTTTAGCCTTGTTACTACTATGGAAACTACATGACAATGAAGCATCACAATACAAGAGAACACACATTTTATGAGCCAAATAAGCAAAATGTCCCACCTGCCATTTGTGACAGTCTCTGAAACCCCAAAAACTGTCCACAAAAAAGTTGAAGACTTAAACTCTTCTGGTGGTGACATAACAAATGTTTAGTGTGTAAAATCATCTGCACGTGTCTGTACAATTTGAAGATAATTTAAATTTGCCAAGAGAATTTGTAAGTTGGTATTACGTACATACCACACGGTTCAGAAATGTAATGAACGCAGTGTTGACAAAATTAGGTTGTTCAACAGGGTTATTTAAGGCGCATAGCTTTCGTATCGGGGGTGCAACATTTCTAGCCCAGTCTGGCTTTTCCGATATTCAGATCATGGAAATGGGCAGATGGTCCTCTACTGCTTTCTTAAAGTATATTAGGTAACAAAAGTAGAGTAAGCATCACCCTCGGCAATTGGTAAGTAAGGTGGGTAGAGTCAGACATTTCCGCTGAAGATAAACAGGTAAAATATAAGTTTAAATGGATCGAGTTAAGTAGAAAAATGTCTCCAGCGAAGCCCCATGGTCAACTAGGGCTACGTTCTTTGACATTTTTTAAGTAAGATTGGATAAATAAGGATGTCACTTGCAGAGGCTTCAAGGTCAACTAGAGCCACGTAAGTCAATATTTCTTGAATGAGTTTAATGGATATGCTGTAAGGTTTTATTGCATACTAGTCAAGGAAAATAAAAAATAAAATCTTCTGTCAGTTAAATCAATTTGTTATTACATGTGTCAAAAATCTACCAATACAAAGATACTAGGTGCTGAGTGGTATCCCTAGCGTTTGGTGGCGGCACTTTAGGTCGCAGGGCCCTAAAGTAGTGGCAGTGTAGGCCTCTCACTCAAAAACTAGGAATGACATAACTTCAAATAATAAGGTAAATAAGGTTATTTACAACTATGGGGACAGTCTTATAAGTATTATGTAATGTTCGTAATAACCTTCAAACTATATACACCTAATGTCCTAACGGGTGTACAAAGGTACTGTGAGCCCTGTATGGGATGGAACACCTCTGACTGTTTAAAATGTTCCTCTAACAGAAGTGTTCCACTTTAGAAGTGTTCCACTTAGAGGTGTTCCACTTGGTAGGTTTCACTGTGACTTCTAATAAAGTTGTATTTAGTAGACAAGCGACTCCGTAAGGCACAATCAATAACAGTTATAGAAGTTGCAGTAAGTCTTAACATAATATGAATGTATTTTGCCATATGAGTTGATGTTTTTTGTTTTGTTTTGGCTGCGCTCCACAATGTAACCTAGCAGGATGGATGACATAGAACAAACTGGTAAGTAGACACATGGTTACTTTTTCATTATTTCGTTATTTTAACCACATGAACTGGCCACTAGAATAAGTGTTTTGATTCTATAAGCTCAGACATCTATGAAATCCAGGCACCAGAGTTTCTCTTCTAGGTTATTATAAAAAATGACTTTCTGTTGGCCAATGCAGCATAAAACAAAAGTATCTCCTAACATATCTTGATCAGCCAAACATGTGACAACAAGTACGTTCTCTAACAGACAATAGACAGAAGAATATAGAATGAAACTGAAAAGGAAAATTATCGAACTTTGTGAAATCAGCAATTTTTTTAAATCGAGTTTTTGAAGGCAACTTATTTAATACCATTAATGTTACTTCAAACGGTGAAAGATTAGATATTCATGTTTGTTTTGGATTGTAAAATAAACGGTATACTCACGTAAATCCGCAGTTTTAAAGGTGTTTTTGCAGAGCGATCTTCTGGTTTAGAAAATAATACTGCGCCATCTTTTCTTATATCCCATAATAACACGTGCCCTTTTTTGTCAATATCATATATAAGGATCATATGGGAAAATCTTTTATGCCTAATAAATTTATTTTTTATCATAAAGTAATAATTTAGTGCTATTTTGTCAATAATAAAGTGATTAATTAAGGAAAATACCACGTGATAGTTTACCGACCAATCAAATCCATTTGAAAAATTTAAAAGTACAAAAAAATTCTCGGATAATAATATTTGTGTAATATTGTCGATTATCGAAGATTTTGCGACTGGTCAACCGATGATTTGAGGTAAATATAGATATACCAACATATTTCCTATGATAAATTTGATATTCCATACGTTTGTGTGAGGGAAAATTGGTGTAGAACACGATTGTTTATTTTTTCACTTATTATCGCCCGTCTATTTTTGTTTTCATGTTTACAGTTAGCCAAGTCGGTCTCTTTTACTTATCTTGATTTCTATTATGACCGCCTTGTACCAAAGAGAAAGCCACGTGCCTTACCGACCCGATGTTTATGTCGGTAAAATTTGACCAATCAACGACGGCCCTGCAGCGTTAGCTCATTATTATGCACGGTCAAAAACAAGTACACTTTTCACCGGGACTTTCCAGGAACAAATCAGCACGAATTCATCATGAAAATACAAATATTTTATCAGATAAATATAAATCAGAATTTAGTGGATGCCGGAGCATCGATTGGATAACCGGAGGTGAGAAGATTTCAACAGTAAACGTTGAGGCGATCGCTGAATTCAAATGATCGAACATGTAGGCTGAAATTCAATCACTGATCGACGACTACATGACCCGCTAGATAGTCTACATTGGACTAGGTATTCGTGCATCTCTAAGAAACACTCAATCAGATCATTGAATTTCAAGTCGTAGAGACGGGAAGTTTGCTTTGTTTATCCAGGTCAACCTGATAACGTTTTGATTGGTCAATCAGCCTGAAGTCACACGTCGTGTCCACGCGTATATCTGTCAATCAATAAGGTTTCACGATACCTATGATAGCGTAGGTATTATGGAAATCTCGAAACCGTTGAATATCTCAGCATAATATCAGCGGAGATGTATTGGATCTAATTGAAAGCTAATGAAGGCGGTAATAATTCAAGATCAGAAAACTCAATAACGGCGTTCTTTACTATTAGGAATTTTCTTGGGGCCGTTATTGAGTTTAACCTCCTTACTATTCTTTCCCTTGATGCAAGTTCTGGATCCACCGAAACCATTTTTCCGCGATAACATGCAACTGATACTTGACAATAATATAAAATCACATAACATCAAGCAATTTAACACAATATTATTATGTTAAATGTTCATTTATACCAGTAAAATGAGGCTACACTTACCAATTTCTAAAATGACATTTCCGCATGTCCGTCATTGTGTCTGTTCGTCTGAGTGTCCCAGATCGTAAAATTAAACTATTAGCGAAATGAAATTGTTGTCAAATAGATATGTAGTTATTATCGCGATTACTTGGGATAAAAAGATCAATTTTGAGGATAACAGGTATCTTTGATTGATTTATATAGCACGTGTATACACGCAAAATAGTTATTAATTGCAAACCTACTGTTTGTAGTGCAGTGCCGTGATGATGGTTAATTTCTGATACGATTTGCAATTTTGATGTAACCGAAACTGACCAACATTTTCGTTATATTCAAAACCTGTCTCCAATATTTTCGTAATTATGCATCAATAGTCTTTAAGGGGGATACGGGATGGTGTGTATGTATTCATAAGGTATGTATGCATGCTTGAATCACATTCTTTGTGTAATATCACCATGTTTTCAGGGTTTAATTAGTTCCACTTGTTGAAACCTGCGGACGATTAAATTAACGCATCAAAGGCAAAATTATCATAGAGGTTAGACCTAGCCGGGGCCATAAGACATGTCAGATAAGAAACTAGGCCCAGGCTAGGTCTAATGAATGCTGTTGGACTAGGTCACCTTGCTTGGCAAGTTCATTATCCAGAAAGAATGTACATGTGTTACTAGTGATCTGATTGGTCACTGCTGACCTCCACCGGTGACAATCTCTGTATTAACCAAACAAATCACTTGTTACAAGTTTCATCTTGCCAGGCAATTGCAGATATCCATAGTTGTTGTTTTATATGCAGTATTATATGCAGTTTTAGATAAAGATTTGAAAAAAACAATGATATAGCTTTGAAAAACCCTTTGAAGAAGATTTTGGAGAGATTTGGGAATACAATTTGATACCAGTATTAAAGTAGAACTACATGTAGTGCCAAGATGAAAAATTTTTGAAAATTTTTCAATCTTACTTGTTCACCTGTGCCTTCTATTACATCTTACTATTACTTTTCCCCTTGCCTATGCAGGTCACGATTTTGCACATGATTGACAGTAGGTTCAAAATCTTGTCCATAAAATCGCAAAATATAGGTGAAAATGGGCTTTAGTGGGTACACGGTTCTAACATACAGCACCGTCCCACATAATGCTGGCGAGATCACTTTGTTGCTACTATCTGCTGTGGCAATGTGGCATCCTTACAATCTCACAAATTTTATGCATTCTTATTCAGATGCCGCAAAACCAAAGGAAAAGAAAAACCAAGTCAGCTAAGAATAAGGGTCAGACTGTACTGACCAATACGATGCTACTGAAAAGTCCAAAACAAGTTGCTGATACTGATACAAGCCCAGCATGTGTTAATGGTGTAACACATCTTGATGGCAACCCAAGTCCATCACATAATAATGACAGTGCAAGTCCAAAACATGTTACTGAAGAAACAAATCATGCAACTTTAGAAACAGGTACGTAAAGTTGTGATTAATTTTTCCAAAATGTCTCAGTAGCTCAGTTGATAAGAAAGTGGAAATATGTGTACATGTACAGTAACATATATGTATGAACGGCGAACGCCACTGTCTGACTTGGACCAACCCAAAGTGTTTGGATAATTGTTACTGCAGGTATTCACTTTTCAGTTTTTAACTGTTTCTCCATTCAATTACAGTATATAGTATACAGTATAGTATACAGTACATAGGCCTAGTGCAAAAAAAATTGTCAAGTTAGTGTTACTTTTATATGACATCTGCAAAGATCACTGCCTATAGAAAAATTTTGAAATTCTTTGAAATTCATGCCACCACTACCAAACTTTTTTGAGACTGGCATTCAGCAGTGAGCATTCTATTGTAGCATTCTACATAACAAGTGTTATACTTGTAACAATTAGCAATAACTCAAAGGCTTTTTTCATGTTAATTCCTTATGTTTACAGGTCAACATGGTGATGTTATAGCTGAACTCAAAGAAGCTACACCTTTCCTAACTCCTGAAAGCACACCAACCAAAGATCCAAAATCACAATCAAATGTAGCAGATGATGTCATAAACAGTCAAAAACGTCTCATGGCGGCCCTAACTCCTAGTGATAAGCCTTCTGGTGGTAAAAAGGGTCGCAATGGAAATGCAAGAAGAAAATTGAAAATTAATGGAATTTCAACTGAGGCACCATCAGAAAACCAGACAAAACCAAAGAGTAGCAAAAAGTATGTTAATTTGAATAAGTACTTGTGCGGCGATTTAGTTCCACGATTCAAGATTACTACAGCTCTATTTAAAGCTGGACTGCGCTCTGAAACGCAATCTTGGGTTGTTTCGGGGTGAACTTTATCATTTTGAGCCTAATGAAAGATTATAGAATGATGAACAAATGGGGCAAATCTTGTGTAGAAATACTTACGATAAATGTGTCATTTCAAAGATTATTCATTGAATTGCTTCGATCGGCGCCGACGATATGATTTTGGAAAAGTTTCTAAATGAAGAACGTGACGTCACTTCCGAATCATAGCATTCAAAATAAGTAGCGTTTAATTACTTTCAACATTCATTAGAAGACGGTGGTCTAGGGGTACAATTCTCGCTTGGCACGCGGGAGGCCCGGGTTCGAATCCTGCATTCGCCTTTTTATTTTTTTTAACTAAATGATTGTTCTTTGATATAACGCAGAAAAAAACAATTTTTATTTACATAAGCTTTATATTAGAGCTTGAAAATGTGAAAACAATATATGTCAACATATTGCGTTTTGGAGCGATGTCCAGCTTTAACATTGCCACCAGTACAGGAAAATACATAAAATCTAACATAGTTTCATAATAAATGCACCCTGTAATATGTTCAATTAATACATCTACTTAATTTAATTCATAACTGATTTGTTACCATTTTGAATGTTTAAGAGGCAAAACATGTTGGTTGGGAAAGTTATTGGGAGAACAAAGTTAATTTTTTTACAATGTGGTGTAAATATTGATCATCATAGCATAAAACATAAAAGAGAGTTAACTTTGTATTTCCACAACTCTTGATATTTATAAACCATTCATTCGCAATATCGATCATATTTTAGAAAGGACACAGAGGTGGTGAAAGACAACAGGCTTGTGACCGATTATTTCCCAATACGTCGTAGTGGACGCCAGACAAAGAAAGATATACAGAGAGAGAAGCAGGAGTTGCTAGAAAGACTTGTACTGGAAAACTGTGAGGATGGTCTGGAGGTTAGATACAAATCCATTTAATATGCTTCTACTCTAGCAGCTTACATACACCATATCATGATTACCTTCACGATATTATCAAATACATGGGTCCAAGATTAATTTCAAGCTCTTTGGAAAAAAGTTCAGACCATCCCTCCCTCCCCTGAAAGTTTTCTTTGTTTAAAATAATTTGCAAAGTTGATGCTTAATGGATATTCAAGTGTATCTCATACTTAAGTGGGTTTGGGGTAGATATCACTCGGGAATATATATCATATCTGAGGAGCGGGCAGGATATATTGTATATGTCCCGCTCCAGGCCAAATGCGGGCAGATATAATATATCCATCCCGCTCCGGGGAATTTTTCATAAAGTGATATTCGATGGTTTGAAAAGTGATATTCGATGGTTTGAAAAGTGATATTTAATGGTTTCAAAGTTTTTCAAAATTTTTTTTTACATTTTTTAATTATTTTCAAAAATTTTTTTTTCAATTTCTTTCTCAAATTATATTTTTCAACTATTATATTTGTCACTGATAATGATTTCCCATGGGATAAACGGACAATCCTATTGTTTTTCAAAAATATCAATTATATCCACTCATGAATACAAATATCTTCACTCATTCGCTGCGCTCACTCATGAAGATCCACTCATGGATATAAATGATATTTTTTCAAAACCATAGGATATTCCTATATATATGACAACCATATGAATTAAGCACATACATGTATAACATAAATTTTTATATCTTCAGGTAAAAGATATTATTGGTAAAGGCCGAGGTGTGTGCTCATCTAAAAAGTTTGAACGTGGTGACTTTGTGATAGAATACAAAGGTGACTTAATAGATCTCAGTACAGCTAAAGGCTTGGAGAAGAAATACTCAGAACACTCAAACATTGGCTGCTATATGTACTACTTCAACTTCAGGAATAAACAATACTGGTGAGATTTTTAGATTTTGCATTCAGTTTTATTTATTTTGGGAGTTTATAATAACTTCATATCTGTAGACTCTTAAACCTCTTTCCATTCCAATGTATTACGAGAAGTATAAATGCTGTTGTAGTGTTGCATATGTTTATTGCACAAAAGTGCTATACAGTCTTCATCTTGTACTATTTAGCAGGTAGCTTGGAGAGTTTGCCACATGAATATTGTCATCAAAATTTCAGGAAAATCGTCAACTTTTTGTAGATGCAAGAGCAGACTAGAACCAAGATTTGATTAGGTTTTGGGCACGCTGTGTAAATTACATGGTGGTCATTTTGCTGTTAAAAGTGCGGCATCGATCACTGTGTGTCTTCATCAAAAAATAGGATTTCTATTTGATTGATGACAAATAGCTGAATGTTTAATGTTTGAGTGGTTATTTTTAAAATGCTGAATTCTTACATGAAATAAACGAACTATATTTTAACAAACATCTTTTCCAGTATTGATGCCACTGCTGAATCTGGTTATCTTGGGCGACTGTTAAATCACAGCTGTAAAGTGGACAATTGTATGACCAAGGTCATCGCTATAGACAACAAACCCTACCTCATATTGGTTGCTAAGCGTGACATTGACATTGGTGAAGAGCTGTTATATGATTATGGAGATAGGAGTAAGGAGTCCATAGCTGCACATCCCTGGCTGGCATTATGATCTTTCCTCAGGAGTTTGATTATTTTAGAATCAGGGTATTCCTTAATACTGAATGAATACTAAATAGCACTCTCTTCAGATTTGAGAATTGCATGTAGCAATGAGTTGCCTGACAAAGGCCTTTAAGAAATCCATATTTTGAAATCAATGGATCCCATGAAAAGTCAGGTTTTCCATCAATATTATACCAGTGACAAGAAATGATATGACATCCCTGATATGATATGACATCAATTGATGACATGATGCTCTTTCCTTGAATTCAAGATATTGTTCATCAAACCATGAAACCAGCAATTTGAATAAACTGGAAAGATTAAAATCTTTGTTGATTGAAATTAAGGTTTTTGCTACACTGCTAATGTTGCTAACGAATATTATACAAATATTTATGGAATGCGTTAAAACACTGTTCAAGCTGCACCTTCGACCTTCGACTTATTGGGTGTTCAGAAATTATTTATATTATAAAAACCCTTTGACCTACGACCAATTGAGTTTTAAGTAGTTGAGATTCGTAGCTTTCATACTCACAGTGATGTATGTAGTAAATGATGTGTCCCAGGAGAGGTGAAAACAGGTATTGTATTCAAGCAAATAATTTCTATAGTTTCTTACCTCCGCCATTGAAGAGAACAAAAAATGCACAAGGGCAATGAGAGGGGTGGGGCAATGTTTGCAGTTCCGTTTTGTGGTTTGGTATTACTGCACACTTAAATCCATTAAGTTTGATATGGTTAAATTATAAAATGATTACGCCATTTTTAACTGAAAAAATAGCACACAATCTGATATGGTATCACTTATGTTTATTTTCACACCAGTTCCCAAAAATGACCTTATGTTGCAGGAATTTTATGCTTGGTGTAAAAACAAAAGGTATATCCAACAGAAGTCTCATGATAGGGTATCAATTGGGCCCAACCAATCACAGAAAAGCAATTTGAATCATGGGAATGAAATACCTCCACTCATGAGTATGCGCAGACTGCTCCTAGTGCTCTTCTAGATCGGCAAAAATAGCTCATATTTACTGTTCTTTTTGTACACCCAATAGGTAGAAGGGTTTTTAGAGCATTCCAATATTTATTTCTATTGAGATACATTGTAAATATCAGTAAGTGTATCTTTCACAAGTGGAATATCATCTTATGAAAGTGCCACAGGTATTTTCCAAGTAGAATTGAAAATTTTGATTTATTATTCTCTGTTATATTCTGCAATCACATTAATGGAATAACATTATTATCGCACTTTGAAAAAGTGCTATATTGCCGTCGTCTTGTGCTGTTGGGCGGGCTGGCGGGACATAAACCAAATCTTGTCATCAAATTTCCAGGATAACTGCTTACCTGTTCAACTTTTTGCTGGGTAAACTACGTGGCGGCCATTTTGAATTTTTCAACAAATCTTGTCATCAAAATTCCAGGAAAACCACTTATCCGTTCAACTTGAAATTTTTACAGATGCAAGAGCAGACTATTGCCAAGATCTGATTAGGTTTTGGGTATGCTGGCTGAATTACATGGTGGCCATTTTGAATTTTTCAATTTGGCGGCCATTTTGAATTTTTCACTTGCTCCAAATTGACCAAATTTTTTTTTTAAAAACATCTACAAGTTCTCAGAAGTTCAAATCTGACCTTAGATTTCAGATTTGACCTTTCATTCACCTTCAGTGACCTTGAAAAGGTCAAAAAAGTTGATTTTCTAAATTGATATTTTGGATTTAAATTTAGGTCAGCTTAATTACAAAACACCTACTGAGGTCTGAAAAAATTAAATTTTCAAGGTCGAAGGTCATCAAATTAGGTCACAAACAATGTTATCTAAATTTTCCCAAAGTTCAAGACTACAAATAAATTCTTGTCATCAAAATTGCAGGAAAACCGCCAACCTTGTCAACTTGAAATGTTTACAGATGCAAGAGCAGACTAGTGCCAAGGTCTGATTAGGTTTTGGCCATGCTGGGTAAATTGCATGGTGGCCAGTTTGCTCTTCAAAGTGCGATATTTATCACTGTGTGTCTTGTTAATAATCACAATGTGCTCTTGGAGATATATTTGAATTAAAATTAAACTTGACTGATGCCTACATTGGTCACATTCGCTCTAGGCTGGCGCCCGGCCAATTGAGTATTTTGTTAAAATTGGATGTAAATTCTCAAGTTTGAGGTCAAAGTTTGAGGTGAACTCCCGAGAATGTGTACTTGATTTTAAAAAAGGTTTGGTCAGTTTGAAGTTAGTTGAAATCAGTTTTGAACAAAATACCGCAATCGGCCAGGCACCAGTCGATGAATCGGAGTGAATGTGACCTAAGCATAAGTCATGACTGGGGAATATAAGTCAAGCTTGTTATTTTTAGTCACATGTATGACATAGATCAGTCAAATTGAGGAATATGACAGTGATATAATAAAACAAGACACACAGTGATAAATATCGCACTTTGAAGAGCAAACTGGCCACCATGCAATTTACCCAGCATGGCCAAAACCTAATCAGACCTTGGCACTAGTCTGCTCTTGCATCTGTAAACATTTAAAGTTGACAAGGTTAGCGGTTTTCCTGCAATTTTGATGACAAGAATTTATATGTAGTCTGGAACTTTGGGAAAATTTAGATAACATCGTTTGTGACCTAATTTGATGACCTTCGACCTTGAAAATTTAACTTTTTCAGACCTCAGTAGTTGTTTTGTAATTAAGCTGACCTAAATTTAAATCCAAAATATCAATTTAGAAAATCAACTTTTTATCGCACTTTGAAAAAGTGCTATATTGTCGTCGTCTTGTGCTGTTGGGCGGGCGTTTGGGCGTGTGGGCGGGCGGGACATAAACCAAATCTTGTCATCAAATTTCCAGGATAACTGCTTACCTGTTCAACTTGAAATTTTTACAGATGCAAGAGCAGACTAGTACCAAGATCTGATTAGGTTAAGGGCATGCTGGGTAAACTATGTGGCGGCCATTTTGAATTTTTCAACAAATCTTGTCATCAAAATTCCAGGAAAACCACTTATCCGTTCAACTTGAAATTTTTACAGATGCAAGAGCAGACTATTGCCAAGATCTGATCAGGTTTTGGGTATGCTGGCTGAATTACATGGTGGCCATTTTGAATTTTTCAATTTGGCGGCCATTTTGAATTTTTCAACTTGCTCCAAATCGACCAAATTTTTTTTTTAAAAACATCTACAAGTTCTCAGAAGTTCATATCTGACCTTAGATTTCAGATTTGACCTTTCATTTACCTTCAGTGACCTTGAAAAGGTCAAAAAAGTTGATTTTCTAAATTGATATTTTGGATTTAAATTTAGGTCAACTTAATTACAAAACACCTACTGAGGTCTGAAAAAGTGAAATTTTCAAGGTCGAAAGTCAAGGTCATTAAACTAGGTCACAAATGATGTTATCCAAGTTTCTCAAAGTTTGAGACTACAAATCAATTCTTGTCATCAAAATTCCAAGAAAACCGCTAACCTGTTCAACTTGAAATTTTTACACATGCAATAGCAGACTAGTGCCAAGATCTGATTAGGTTAAGGGCATGCTGGGTAAACTACGTGGTGGCCATTTTGAATTTTTCAACAAATCTTGTCATCAAAATTCCAGGAAAACCACTTATCCGTTCAACTTGAAATTTTTACAGATGCAAGAACAGACTATTGCCAAGATCTGATTAGGTTTTGGGTATGCTGGCTGAATTACATGGTGGCCATTTTGAATTTTTCAATTTGGTGGCCATTTTGAATTTTTCAACTTGCTCCAAATTGACCAAATTTTTTTTTTTAAAACATCTACAAGTTCTCAGAAGTTCAAATCTGACCTTAGATTTCAGATCTGACCTTTCGTTGAAAAGGTCAAAAATTTGATTTTCTAAATTGATATTTTGGATTTAAATTTAGGTCAGCTAATTACAAAAGACCTACTGAGGTCTGAAAAAGGGAAATTTTCAAGGTCGAAGGTCATCAAATTAGGTCACAAACAATGTTATCTAAATTTTCCCAAAGTTCAAGACTACAAATAAATTCTTGTCATCAAAATTGCAGGAAAACCGCTAACCTTGTCAACTTGAAATGTTTACAGATGCAAGAGCAGACTTGTGCCAAGGTCTGATTAGGTTTTGGCCATGCTGGGTAAATTGCATGGTGGCCAGTTTGCTCTTCAAAGTGCGATATTTATCACTGTGTGTCTTGTTTGACCTTTTCAAGGTCACTGAAGGTGAATGAAAGGTCAAATCTGAAATCTAATGTCAGATTTGAACTTCTGAGAACTTGTAGATGTTTTTAAAAAAAAATTTGGTCAATTTGGAGCAAGTTGAAAAATTCAAAATGGCCACCAAATTGAAAAATTCAAAATGGCCACCATGTAATTCAGCTAGCATACCCAAAACCTAATCAGATCTTGGCAATAGTCTGCTCTTGCATCTGTAAAAATTTCAAGTTGAACGGATAAGTGGTTTTCCTGGAATTTTGATGACAAGATTTGTTGAAAAATTCAAAATGGCCACCACGTAGTTTACCCAGCATGCCCTAAACCTAATCAGATCTTGGCACTTGTCTGCTATTGCATGTGTAAAAATTTCAAGTTGAACAGGTTAGCGGTTTTCTTGGAATTTTGATGACAAGAATTGATTTGTAGTCTCAAACTTTGAGAAACTTGGATAACATCATTTGTGACCTAGTTTAATGACCTTGACCTTCGACCTTGAAAATTTAACTTTTTCAGACCTCAGTAGGTGTTTTGTAATTAAGCTGACCTAAATTTAAATCCAAAATATCAATTTAGAAAATCAACTTTTTTGACCTTTTCAAGGTCACTGAAGGTGAATGAAAGGTCAAATCTGAAATCTAAGGTCAGATTTGAACTTCTGAGAACTTGTAGATGTTTTTAAAAAAAAATTTTGGTCAATTTGGAGCAAGTTGAAAAATTCAAAATGGCCGCCAAATTGAAAAATTCAAAATGGCCACCATGTAATTCAGCCAGCATACCCAAAACCTAATCAGATCTTGGCAATAGTCTGCTCTTGCATCTGTAAAAATTTCAAGTTGAACGGATAAGTGGTTTTCCTGGAATTTTGATGACAAGATTTGTTGAAAAATTCAAAATGGCCGCCACGTAGTTTACCCAGCATGCCCTTAACCTAATCAGATCTTGGTACTAGTCTGCTCTTGCATCTGTAAAAATTTCAAGTTGAACAGGTAAGCTGTTATCCTGGAAATTTGATGACAAGACTTGGTTTATGTCCCGCACGCCCGCACACCCGCCCGCACGCCCGCCCACCCAACAGCACAAGACGACGGCAATATAGCACTTTTTCAAAGTGCGATAATAAAATGATATATTCAGGTATTTTGAATTCAATTTACATGATTACAATATCAGTTATTAATGAAATGGGTAATATTTTCAAAATTGTATGTTGATATTAATGCATTATAATAGAATACATAATTAAAAACTAAAATATTTTGTTTGTTGAAATTTCCAGAAGCGATTTTTCTGAAAGTGTGGAACTTCTTTCAATAACCAAACTGATATTCAAGCTTTTTCAAAAAATCTGGTTTTGTCATAGAATGTAAATAAAACATTAATGTGAACATTATGTACCTAAAACCAAAGATCTCATTTTATGTATTTGGTCAAGGCAGTAGTTGCGATTATAAAACCATTAGTGTTGTGTGTCACCTCTGTTGTGCTGTATGTGAAGTTTCTTGCTAGCTTGTGAAATAGATATTATGTTCATGTACAAGACAAACCAAGAGTTCAATATAATTAAATTTTATTATAGAATCTACATTTTGTTGTTTAGCTCATTATGACCCCCACCTACTTAGTGGATTATGGGAGGGTCAAAGACTTAATATAATGCAAGGCTAAAATTTATGGATCATTTTTTCCATTTTCTCTCCCAAAATTAACTTTGTAAATAGTGAAATATTGAGAAATTCTGAAGACTGCTGATATACAAAAAAACTTTTAGTCATTATCACCACACTGTGTAAATATATTCCATTTTGCTTTCTTTAGATCAAATGTATCAAAAAGCTGTCAAAAGTGAACCCCCTGGAATTTTTTTAAAAAGTGCCCTCCCCCTCGGCAAATCATGGTTACAGGCCTGGGATCATTTTAACATTTATTTGATATTCAGTTCTGTCCTATATTGATATCCCATTGAATATGCCAAATTGGGACAACTAAGGTAGGCCTACTTGGAGTAGATTCTAGGCCTAAAAACTTTCAAATTCCAGCAGTTATCTACTTCTAGTGTTATGGCAAGGACGTCTACACTATGGACATTCTTGGTATCCGACAATTTACAATGCAAATAGCGGGTAACTATTTACGACTGCTTTTTGAAGTTTTTCACACAATTTTCTTTCACTCAAAAGCTGCTTATTCGCAGACAAAATAAACTGCCAGGTACAATATGAATTATGTCATTTATGCTTCTGCACGAAATTCGATGGAAGTATAATTTGATGCTAATCCAGAATACTGAATAGACTTCTTGGTTTACCACAAGATGTGCAACACTTTTTTACAACACTAAATTCGCAAGGGGTGGATTGTCAGTTTGACACATTTATGACTGAACTTCTGCAGAAAACCAAGAAATATATTCAGTATTATGGATCAGTAACATCGAATCATAGAACTTCCGTCAGATTTCGTGCAGCAGCTGGTGGTGTCATACTGTTATCGTCTCCAACTTTTTTGCAGGCGGTGTTTGGTGGTTGGTTTTCAGAGGTGTCTCGGTGTCTAACAAATGGCAAGATTCACAGTCTGTATGGAATTCGGGTGCAAATCCACTGAACTGGTCCGGGCTGCTTAAAATTGAAGAGCTTTAAAAAAACTCCCCTGACATTCATTTTATCATGGCTCATCATAATAACTATCAAATATTATTTGAATACATTGGATCATTTACTCCAATATTTTATTTTTGCAAAATTCTGAGGTACAAGTGCCATATAATCCAACTGCAAAGTGTCCACTAAGTTAATTCACTGGAACAATGTTTTGTTATATATTGATGTATTTGTAGCATGACCTCCTTGATTTCCATTTTCATTTTCTCCATCTAAAAGCAAAAAAAGAAACAGTTACTGAGTTCTACATTCCTGCTATATCACAGCTTTATTAATGTGGTATTATCTTGTTACTGAGTTATACATTCCTGCTATATCACAGCTTTATTAATGTGGTATTATCTTGTACGTACATCTCATGAGAAAGATCAATAATCAACTAAATTGGATAAATCAGTTTCTATGATTTTAAGGGACTCAGTCTCTATTGTCTTTCAATATCCACCCCACAGGTAACAAATGAATACTGAACTTCTACTTAATTTGGCGGCTACTTAATTTGGCAGACTTAACAATGTGGCAGATCTGCCAAATTAAAACAGCCCCGGTAATTCCTGGTAATTTTATTACCATGTAAATGAGTACCAGCAGTGCATTGTAATATTGCAGGTCTGACAAATTAAGTAACTCCCAAATGTTCAAAACAGCAAATCTGCCAAAACAAGAAGCGTCAAATTAAGTAGAAGTACAGTACACTCAGTATTCAATTCTTTAAGATTACTACCTCTCCCCAACATAATGTAATTTGAAAATGTTGACTCCCTTTTCACTTGAATTTCTCAAAAATAGACATTTTTTAGAATGAAATCATCATTTACCCCTCACCCCTCCCCTTAACAAAAGTAACTTTGCTACTGCACCACTGAAAACTGAACACATCTCTTACAGGCTTAACAAATTGCAAGGTTGAAATGAAGAAACAATGAAAAACAACTAGATAACGGCAACTCCGCGGAGTAGCAAATCCCAACGAACAAATATCAATTAGCAAATTCCAATCAATTATACTCATTACTTTGGTTAAAATTGAAAACATTAGATTTTAGAATTGCGAATTCCTGCAAAGCAGCCATTTTGAATTTTCTGAGATACAAATCTGAAAAATAATACCATAATTGTGGTTGGCTCAGAATTATGTGAACTTTTTGTGGCAAATAGCCTAATATGTTTTTAAACCCATCCTCAAACCGCAGGGACCAGATATCATCCAGAAAAGAGTGGTTGATGTCTGAGCCCTACATTTGGAGGATGCTTATCTAGTACATCAAATTCACTGTACAATCATGAATTTGTCATCTTAAGAGGGTAGCAGTTACTATTGGTCATTGGGTCTTAGGGTGAGATATGACTGAACACTTACATCTTAAGAACTTTATCCTTGCCTCCACTGACTACTCTTTGACCATCTGGACTCCAGTCAACAGCATAAACCTAAAAATACAAGAGGACCACATCACTTAAAGTATACGTCATGATATTAAGAAGAAAATCAATAAACTCAAGGCCTGTGTTACACTTGCTAACTGTATATTGAATGCTCTTACTCACGCCCGGTGATCGTACAAAATGGATGGAGGGGGGATAAGCCGATTTCTGCAATGTATGTAAGACATGATAAGACAATTGCTACTTGAATTTATTCTTATGACTCCAAATTTTCCCATTTTCATTCTCCAGAGATATGATATCCAGTTTCTTACTGAGGTAGAGAGTTTAGTTTTTTAAAATATGCGAGTTCTTGTAAATTTGTTCCATTGTAAAGACATATAAATCCCCCCTCCATCCACTGTGATAATAACGTCCCTTATACCTATTTATTACAGGTCGTGTAGACCATTGTTGCCCGGTTTATAGCAAAAACATTGACAAAAAAAATACCAGATGACCTATCATATTTTGCCATGCACTGCGCCTATTCATCTGGCAATTCAGTCGTAAATTTTCTCTTGAAAAAATAAATTTTCCAAATTTGTTGTGTTTTCTTGAAGAAATCGATCCATTTTGTACGATCACCAGGCTTGACTATGCTAGAATATTTTCTGTCCCTATATCTTGACACAGTTAACTTAAAGAGAGCCAATCGATTTACTTTAATATTCTTCACCCTGGAATATATGTAAAAATACATGCAAAAAATCAGGGGTAGCATAGTTGTTCTTTCAAAATGACAAAGCCTTTTTCAAATCTGTTTCTCATACATGGGATACTCCATTGGTGATACCACAATCTATAGATGGCACTGATAGATACACCTAAGTGTCCCCTGAATTTTCAAAAAATAAATCGGAAATCAAACTGAAACTAACACCATGATATAGGCCTAATAAATAATTATATATTTGAAATTATTATATAACTGTCATATTCCTAACTTTCTGATTGGTTCATGTCCTACATGTGACTAAAAAATAAAAAGCAATATCAAACGGAAGTCACGTGACTTCCGTCAATATCAAATGATATTCACCAGTGACGACTTAGTTCAGTGTAATTTCATTGTATATATCCCTGGGAGTACATTGTTATCATGATTAATTAGACATCAATAGTTTGTTTTTCCATTAAATGTGAGTGAGGAATAATAACAGTGAATAATAAAATAAATGTTTAATTCTATTTTTGGTGAATACCTGTGACACATTCACAAGATGATATTCCACTTGCCCTTCAGGCTTCGTGGAATGTCACATGTGAACGATACACAGGTATTCACCTCAATAAGATTCAATATTTGTATAATATCCAATCTGTCAATTGTTTATTCCAGATTTCTGATGGGGATACTCATACTGACCTCATCTGCATGTCCTGGTAAATCATTTAGCAGCTTTTTGGTTTTCATATCCCAAACTTTTAAAGTGGAATCTGAAGAGCCGCTACAGAGTAATCTACTATCAGCTGACCAGGATATTTGGTAGACTCTGCTAACATGTCCCCTGAGTGAAGTCAGATATCTGAAAGGACAATGAGAATACATGTACTCAGTCACTTGGCATCTCAAATTCACACCGGAATAGCCTGACAACGGCAAAGTCAGATACTGTTGTCACAAATGGTGGACATAACCGTCGCTTCAACTCTTTAATCACTTGGTCATAATTTCATGGGATTTTATTGTCCTTAATTCTGTGCATGTAATAAGCTCTTGTGATGATGTATCATATGAAATCCCAATTTCAATCAAATTGGGTCATGAATCACCACAATATAGCAGTCTTCGATATCATCAATGACAACGGAATCTGAATTTGAAATAATTTACAAAGACAACGGCATATGGTAATACAGTGTCCGTTGTCCAGTGTCTCATTTTGATCGGTTAAATTAAAGACTTTATTTCGATGGTAGAATATCATTAACTGTACAATGAGTATAAAGACATTTCGATTGATTGTTGTTCCAAAGGAATTTGCTAGGTGCTCTACTAAACATACAGTTCAGGAAAATCTAATTGAAGTGACTGTTATGTCCGCCATTTGTGACAATGGTATCTGACTTTACCGTTGTCAGGCTATTCCAGTGTGAATTGGCATTTCCATGGAGTAGCAAATCCAAACGAACACTATATTCATGAATCTATCATGTCACAATGTAATATTTATTATTTACCATCTATTCTACCCTTGAGTAAATTGGTAGATATTCCAATTTTGAGAGGCACAAATTATAGACAATGCAATGTTTGAGATCTAATTGAGTATAATGTAATCATATTTTGAAGTTTACTTAAGAATGTTGAGTATAATAAAGCAACTTTGAAGAGATCAGAAAATTATTGCGAAATCCGACATTAGGCAGCCATTTTGAATTTTACTAGGCCCAAATCAGAAAAACGATACAATATTTACAATTTGCAATCTACTGCCTTTCATTTGAGTATAATTTTAAAGCGGCAGCCATTTTGTAAGTTTTCTTTACCTAGCATGAAGGAAATCTGTGCCCTCGTATTTGATTATCTTCCGGACAGACAGATGGATGGAGGGCTTCACTATATCCCTACCAAACTTCATTCATTGGGATAATCAATTCCTCACTCCCAAATATTCTCCTTATTTTTTATTGATAAATTCAAAACGACCATCAAGAAATTTACCCAGCATGCCCTAGTTTTTTACAGATCAATCACAGAATACTCACTTTCCTGTTTTTCCATCCCATAATTTAATAGATTTATCAAATGAAGCACTGGCTATAGTTCGAGTATCAGGTGAAAACAAGACTTCATTGATCAATTGAGCGTGTCCAGTCATTCTAGCTATTGGTTTTTTCTCAGTTTCTGGATGCCACAGGAATAAGGTGAAGTCGTCTGATCCAGATACAAGACGCTCTGAATCTTCACCCTGAAAATAATCATGTAACAATAAGCATACACTTTCATGAACCTTTATCCCTTACATAAAGGATTGTGTACTTGGGTTTAGATACTGATAGGGTCACTAGGGGCAATCTGCATGAGGTTCCATTTTTTGATTTAGTTTTGGCACATGTGCATTTAAAATGTTTAATCCATCAATTTAATTACATGTAGCTCAAATTATTTAAAGGCATTTATGATTAATAAGATAATAACTACATGAATTTTTATACAGATGTCAAATTCGTTCATCATTTCACAGCGCGAGAATATTCTCATTTAGTATAAAAATAAATAACTCCCAACTTCAATGTATGTTCTTAATGCCTTGGCAATAAACTTTCGTGAACATACTAAAACCGAACCAATTGCAGAAAAATTATTTGAATCATGAGAATAATGTTCTTCCATTTTTGCGCATGTGTGAAAAACAGAGCCAAGTAAAAAAGGAACCTCACGCAGATTGCTCCAACTCATCTTGAGAGGAAGTGAAGTCTTAGTAGACTCTGATTGGTTCATTTGGCCTTGAGTTACCAGAAGTAGAGTTTTAGTAGACTCTGATTGGTTCATTTGGTGAAATGAGTTACCATTACCAGCTATCATATATTTACTTTCGGTACATTCAAAGAAGGACAGCTGATTATGAAACCTATTATAATGATGTAAACTGCAATATAATGCACCACAACCTTTTTGAGAATAATACTCACTAATCGTGAATTGTTGTAACGTTCTTGTGCCATCTTCTGTAACTCTTCATCTAAAAGGACAAGAACGACATGCGTCACAGTGTGAAGTTATTTTACAACAAGGCGTCAGGCAGAATCTAGATCAAAGCAACTAGTAGTTACAAAATGATGTCAAGAAAAACCAAGCACAGAGTTGTACTGAAAAGAAAATACCCCCCTCCCACTCTCTGTATATAAGGATATAAAAATGCTTGGAAGTTAACTCAATACATAGTGTGGGGGGATGTTTTCAGGACAACTCTACTATCTGTTCCGATGTTGGTGCCGAAAGGTTAATCAGTTGTAGGAATTAGTAGTAGGAATTTGAACTAAATCTAATGAGTGTTTTTCCTGGAATAGACTTCGCATGAAATAGCAGTTGGTAACATCTAACATCAGCATGAACTTGAAATGAGTCTGGTGGTTGATTTCTCAGAATTACAATGGAATGTCACTAGGCTGCCAACATCACGATGACTACATGATTCTCCCAGCGGTCTGATAAAAGATTCAAAATTCAGTCAGAAGAGTAAAGATTAACTTCTGAAAGATGCTTTTAGTGTCAAATGTTTTAATAAGCATGGGCACAGCCAGGGAGAAGTAGTGATTAACAAATTATGGTTTGAAATGCTTAGAATGCACCATATACAATGTACATGTAAATTTTTTTTAATTTGTGGGGGCAAACCCCACAAATTCACTCCACCCTGCACATTTGCTGGCTTTGCCCCTGATAAGGGAGTTGCTAACTTGGTATATAAAGCTGAATAAGACTAAATACATAGTTGTCATCACTTTTTTTGTTTTGGTTGGACCAGACTGCCATAGACCTCAATGTTAAAAACTTGCAATAGTCACTTAATTTCAAGATTTACCAAAAAGTGTTGGTTGAATCTGTCTAAAACTTAAATGACATACTATACTATGGGTTAACCCTGTTAATGTACATATTGCGATTAATCAAAAAATGGAGGCCATAACAATATGTCACCGATTTTTGGAGTTGACATAAAAATCATACTGTAATCTTATCATGATCGATAAATGCATACTGTTTTCCCTAAAAATAGTTTGTGAATGAAACTGTGAAAATCATTGTCACTTGTTAGTAAAAAACTTATATTCCCTTTGACTTCAGATTTGCACCGCCTGTACTACAAGTATTATAATACATGTACAGGGTTATCACAAAGTAAATTGACATGTTTTGATTCTACTGTAACTATTACATTTATTTATCTATCTATTTACTAATATAATATACATATAATTATAATTTGTATTCATCAATGAACAAATTGGCTGCAGTTGAATATTTGACCAATAGAGAAAGAGCTTGTTCATAAATTTTGAATGTTATCTATTTACCATTGATTTTCTCAATTTCAATGTACTACTAGTATATTTTAATGAATGAAGATTCTATAAATATTTTCTGAAAGTTTGGGTAGTAAAAATTCACTATACACTTTTGCATAAAAATATCATTTGATTTCCAAGGAATAATTCTGTCAGAATCAACTGAAATCTGAATATTCTAGAAAAAAGTGTATTTTTGAGACAAATCATTTTTCCATACTTTCGTACAAATAAAACTTTAATTTGGATTTTTTATTGTAAAGAAAGTGTACTGATTCTTGTCAAATACTAGTCTGGATGTAGAGCCAATAGAGGTGGAAATGCTTATTATATGAACTTTTTTTGCATTTTCTGTTTAAACATGATATCCATATTCAGAAACTGTCGGATGCCCAACGGGCATCCTTGAGGAATTTTTTTGGTGGCCATTTTGAATTTTCACACGTTTTATGTATTTTTGCCAGCATATTAGAACAGAAAACTAGCATACACATAAACATATCTTGCTGTTTTTTCTATTATAGAGTTTTAATATGATGTATACCAATATAATAGGTTCCAGAAATGTTTCTTGACAAAAATAAAAAAAAATTCAAGATGGCCGCCAACCTTACAATTTATGAAATGTCTCATTCTGTGATAATATCAAATTGATATTAGTGTTTCCTACAAAATTATCAATAAATAATACTAAATACATCTGATTATGATCTCTTTCTCACATATAAAATATCTGAAATGAGTAAAAAGTAACCTACATAATAATAATGATGTTCCACAAGGGTCATTTCTTGGTGCTATATATATCTTGAATTTATGAATTATCTTCTTTTACTAAGATTTCATCAAGGATTTCCCTCAATAAATCTTCATCAGTTTCTTCCAATTCCTGTTCAGTTACTGTCTTTGTATGTTGGTTATTGCATTCATTCCCCTTGCAAACACAGAACAATGTGCATGATAAAGATGCCTTGGAGCATGAACATCGCCCAGTTCTACATACCTTGCCCTATGATGCACATGTGCACTTAATGAGCTGGAGAATTCCTTCAGGGGCCAAGGGTGTATCCTTGGGCATTGTTGGGAAAAGGGAGCCCGTGCTGTTAATTTCCCAACCATAATCTGTTGGAAGGATAAGTGGGGGGTCAGGCATATTAGCATTTTTCCATATAGCTACTTGGAAATAAGCTCGCTTCCCATGCTGGGAAAATGCTTCTGTTGTTGGTGGGAGGGATTTTAGCTTTGGTGCATTTGTAATGTGTTTTGCAGCATTTTCTTTGCCCATACAGCATATCTCACATCAGATATTTTGTCTGTGACTTTAGGTGTAATTCCATAACATCTAGAAACAAATTCTGTTGAAGTTTTCTCAACTTCAGTCATGTCTGCATTGACATCTCCCAAGTTAGTGAGTGAGTATCTATTTAATACCTTCAGAACTGTTAGCTTGCCAATTCCATGCATGCAAGATGTCGTATCACTGCCAGATAGATCATGCGCAGCTAACAAGTTTGCTCTGCCAGACGATGTTCCCTCCATTATCACTATTTGATGAAAATGGAGAAATTAATATCACAACTTCAAAATCAACACTGAAACAAGAACACAAATGTGTACAAAATGTCCCCACCAATGGGTGATCCCATCAAACGGTTATCCTGAAAATGAGTAGACAAGACTTTACCAACACAATTTTAATTGATCCGTCACACAGTTAACTAGAAAACATGTAAACAAGACTTTACAGACAAGATTTTAGGATGGAAAATCCAAAATGGCTGCCTTGACATTTACCCAGAATGTCAAAAAACTAATCTGTTCCTAGATTTTCATACTAAGAATCATCCCTGAAAATATGACATTGATCTACCAAATGGTTCACCTGAAAACGTGTAGACAAGACTTTACAGACAAGATTTTAGGACAGAAAACCCAAAATGGCTGCCATGACATTTACACAGAATGCCAAAAAACTAATCAGATGTAGATTTTCACACTAAGAATCATCCCTGAAAATTTGAAATTGATCTACCAAACGGTTCACCTAAAAACGCGTAGACAAGACTTTACAGGCAAGATTTTAAGACGGAAAATCCAAAATGGCTGCCTTGACATTTATCCAGAATGCCAAAAAACTAATCAGATGTAGATTTTCATACTAAGAATCATCCCTAAAAATTTGAAATTGATCTACAGAACGGTTCACCTGGAAATGCATAGACAAGACTTTACAGACAAGATTTTAGGACAGAAAATCCAAAATGGCTGCCTTGACATTTGCCCAGAATGCCAAAAAACTAATCAGTTCTACATTTCCATACTAAGAATCATCTCTGAAAATTTGAAATTGATCTACCAAACGGTTCACCTGAAAACGCATAGACAAGACTTTACAGACAAGATTTTAGGATGGAAAATCCAAAATGGCTGCCTTGACATTTACCCAGAATGCCAAAAAACAAATCAGATCTAGATTTTTATACTAAGAATAATCCCTGAAAATTTGAAATTGATCCACCGAACGGTTCACCTGAAAACACGTAGACAAGACTTCACAGACAAGATTTTAGGACGGAAAAATCCAAAATGGCCGACAATAAAAAAGTGATTATGTGTTTTTGCTGATTTCTTCTTACAAAATTATCACATATTACTACTTTTAACAATAACATAGGCTTTTACAACAAAGTAGATCTGAAATTATTTATAAAGCTACTAAATAGTTAAAGTATGAAAACTCAAAAACACCATTCAATATGATACAAAGTATTATCGTGCGCTAACTTTTCTTAAGACATTCAAAATGGCTGACATGACTGAGCTAACAGGTCCAAAACCTAATCAGATCTAGAATGAAGTGAGCTGAACAAGATATTAAAGTTTTAAAAGCAACTGTGAAGCCGTTTTTCTTAAAGTTTGCAGACAAGGATTTTAGCATTTGACTTCAAAATGGCCGACAGGAAGTAGGTATCGAGTTAAAATTTTTTCATCCACATCTGTATGCACTCATAAGTTATCCCTGAAAATTTGAAGGTGATATCTGTAGCGGTTTTGGAGAAAACTCCCGGACGTACACACTATGTGGTGGGGACATAACAAAAGTTACAGATTGAGGTGACCTCTAGAGGAAACAATTGCAATGTACGTGTCGTTGATGGGTGTGCCATCCTTTGGATCATAACATGGCCGATGACTGGCAAAATTGAAAACTTCTGTATTGCTTTCACTAAGTACATCCAGAGACTCCTAACTAAATCAGATGTATACCTTATCTTTGACAGATATAAAGACAATAGCATAAAGAACAGCACCAGGTCATCTTGAGCTCAATCAGCCAGGAGAATGTATAAGTTCAGCTCTGACACACCTCTCCCTGCACAGAATGTTGTTCTGAATGTGATTGAGAACAAGGTCCAGTTGATAAAGTGTGTCATCGACCATCTCACTCAAAAAGCTAGTGAAGGATCATTCTCCAACATCCTTGTTATCACAGGTCCTGATCCAACACCTGTACACCAACACCAGGTTCTGCGTGGTGCCAGTAAAGGCCAACAGAATATCAGTGTACTCAGTGATGATACTGATGTTTTCCTTCTACTTTTTCATCACTGTCTCAAGCACAAGTTAATGGAAAATAACATCATAATGGAGGGAACATCATCTGGCCGAGCAAACATTAACATTAATGCAACCGTAAATGAACACAAATTAAAAATCCCAAACTTGTTAGCTGCGCATGGTCTCTCTGGCAGTGATACAACATCTTGCATGCATGGAATTGGCAAGCTAACAGTCCTGAAGGTGTTAAATAGATACTCACTCACTAACTTGGAAGATGTCAATGCAGACATGACTGAAGTTGAGAAAACTTCAACAGAATTTGTTTCTAGATGTTATGGAATTACACCTAAAGTCACAGACAAAATGTCTGATGTGAGATATGCTGTATGAGCAAAGAAAAATGCTGCAAAACACATTACAAATGCACCAAAGCTTAAATCCCTCCCACCAACAACAGAAGCATTTTCCCAGCATGTGAAGCGAGCTCATTTCCAAGTAGCTATATGGAAAAATGCTGATTATGGTTGGGAAATTGACAGCACGGGCTCACTTGTCCCAACAACAATGCCCAAGGATACACCCTGTGCCCCTGAAGGAATTCTCCAGCTCATTAAGTGCACATGTGCATCAGAGGGCAATGTATGTAGAACTGGGCGATGTTCATGCTCCAAGGCATCTTTATCATGTACATTGTTCTGTGTTTGCAAGGGGAATGAATGCAATAACCAACATACAAAGACAGTAACTGAACAGGAATTGGAAGAAACTGATGAGGATTTATTGAAGGAAATCCTTGATGAAATCTTAGTAAAAGAAGATAATTCATAAATTCAAGATATATATTGCACCAAGAAATGACCCTTGTGGAACATCATTATTATTATGTAGGTTACTTTTTACTCATTTCAGATATTTTATATGTGAGAAAGAGATCATAATCAGATGTATTTAGTATTATTTATTGATAATTTTGAAGGAAACAATAATATCCATTTGATATTATCACAGAATGAGACATTTCATAAATTGTAAGGTTGGCGGCCATCTTGAATTTATTTTTATTTTTGTCAAGAAACATTTCTGGAACCTAACATATTGGTATACATCAAATTAAAACTCTATTATAGAAAAAACAGCAAGATTTGTGTATGTGTATGCTAGTTTTCTGTTCTAATATGCTGGCTAAAATACATAAAACGTGTGAAAATTCAAAATGGCCACCAAAAAAATTCCTCAAGGATGCCCGTTGGGCATCCGACAGTTTCTGAATATGGATATCATGTTTAAACAGAAAATGCCAAAAAGTTCATATAATAAGCATTTCCACCTTCACTTAAAATATGGCACTTCACATCCGGACTATACTCTATATACAAGTTAACATGTTGATAACATGCCTGTTTAATTTCTTCTTAACTGCTTCTACTTTATTTCATTTTTTTGTCATTTTACAGCATGCTTACCATTCCTACATGTCAGTACAAAATGAAGGTTCAAATATCTCAAAACCATGCATTAATATGTATGAGAAACAAATGAACTCTAGGAATCAACCTCTTGTCCTATGCATACAATGAATTACTATAAGGAGCTCTCCCATGCATTAATATGTATGAGAATCAAATGAACTCTGGGAATCGACCTCTTGTCCTATGCATACAATGAATTACTATAAGGAGCTCTTCCATGCATTAATATGTATGAGAATCAAATGAACTCTGGGAATCAACCTCTTGTCCTATGCATACAATGAATTACTATAAGGAGCTCTTCCATGCATTAATATGTATGAGAATCGAATGAACTCTGGGAATCAACCTCTTGTCCTATGCATACAATGAATTACTATAAGGAGCTCTTCCATGCATTAATATACTGTATGAAAATCAAATGAACTCTGGGAATCAACCTCTTGTCCTATGTATACAATGAATTACTATATGGAGCTCTTCCATGCATTCCAGTATCTACCCTTTCTTTGAGATTCACCGTAAAATTGGCACGGATATTTGAGCAATGGTTATGGAAAATCCGTAAAATTTTACAAGGATTTAAAACTGTGTAGCCCATCTTTTTTTCCAGTTGCCAAATAAGGACATTCTCAGCTCCCAGCTTGTTCATTGGGTAATCCAAATTCTCTAATGCATCTTGGGGAAATGGCTCCTCCAAAACAAATACAAATGCATCATGGGAACCATGATATTTCTTCACGCATAGGTTCTCCACTGGACATTGCACGAAAGGCAGTCCACTCATTTCATTGCCCATTCGTGTTATTGCATACGCAATGTGTTTCTCCAACATTTTACTTGAATTAACTCTAGTAAACTCATTACTCAGATAGATGTCTCCATTCATAAAAACAACACATTCATGTACCAAGTTTTCAGATATAAATTCCATTATAACTCTGTAGGTTATACCAACATCAATATAATGTACAGATATTTTATCAAAATTGTCCAGATTTTCATTTTCAAGATAGATTTTCATATCTATGATGTTTGTTAAAATGTGTATTTGCTCAACAAAGTCTAAATTAAGATTATTTTGCAATGTCCCCATGAACTCTAGATGGCGCTGCAAAAGCTGTGACGATGATAAAGAAGCATATCCTAATTTGCCCAACTCTTCACTTGCTGATAACATAGGAATACTCGTAACTATGTGAAGATGGGGCGCCCTGCTTCTTTCTGATGTCATACTTGCATCAACTGATGTCAAACTTGGAACTTGTGATGTCTCAATCATGTCTGATAATGATGTCATATCTGATCTTGATGTCATCTTTATGTCAGGTGATGTTACAGCAACATCCTTTTGGTCTTCTATAGACATACTATCACTTTCATGCAATGTGCTGCCATCATTATTCATTGATTTCTTAAGTGCATCACTGATCTGTACTTTCTCTTCTGAAGTTTTACCTTTTATTCCATTTATTTTAACTTCGATACCTATGGGCTCGCCTCTGTCATTGGTCCCAATGTTATATGTACCTCCGACATTATCAGCGTCTTCAATATTTCTCAAAATTTTAGCAATATGCAAATCATACTCCACTCTTCCAGCATCTAGTTCAAGGTTGTTAAAATCATTTCTAAATGTTAAATCTTTTGTCTTGGTATGTTTTATGTCATACATCACAGGTGCGCCATCTGTCATAATATCTGTCTCCCTATGTCTAAATAGTGGATCATTATCATCAATGGTCTTAATCTGATCACTTACTGCAGCTTTTTCCGTTAAATCACCAGATCCGTCCTTCAAGAGTGATGTTGACATGGAGGGATAAAATGTGTAATATATCACCCCAAAGCATGAAAGCAATAAAATGGTGCTTATTATTATGGGCAGATTTCTGCGTAAGGCTGATGGTTTGTCACTGCTCCTCATTTTTGGTACAACTTTGAATGTTTTCAATGAATTGCTTTGAATGATGCTGCTGCTGGTGTTTTTGTCGTTGTTGTCCATGTACAGGTCAAAGTTCTTTACTTTCTATTTTATTGATGTTTCCTGTGAAAGTTATCATGATGGTTGCTTTGCCTGTAACTACATATCTTCTTACTAAAATATCATTTAAAGCCTGATTTTCTGGCAATTATATAATGATTAAAGTATTGGCTAATGCCTCTTTATTTCATTCCTTGGTCATTTCACTCTTTTTCATTGTATTTCCCGTTTTATAAAAATTATTGAAGTGATATATTTAATATGGGATATATTATGTTTTTACCGGACAGTCCTATATTTTTCAATTGTAACTTGACTTTCTGTACAGGTTGGGACTCTTCTTCCTGTTGCATTTCAAATTTAAGGGGCAACAAGGACTGTAGAGAGAAAATTTGAAAATTTTTATTTTTTCTGAGCTATCAGGACAATATTTGGCTTAACATCTTCTTTGACATACCTATTTTCTTAAAATGTATGGATAAACTATCAATTTCAGCTTTAAGAAGTGTAAATTCAGTTCAAAGCTTCTATAAAGGGAGTCCCACTTATAAATTTTTAAGATCCACCACGTTTCAAGAGGAATATCAGCTGAAATAATGTTCATCCAGGGGGTTTCTTTGTAGATAATGAAAATATAATGTTAGTCTTGTTGAAAAATCCAAACTTAAATATATTTTGACACTGCTCGATGATCGTTGAATGGCCCCCCTGCACTAATTGTTGCACCTTTAATGAATATAGTCCATTAGTCCTATGTCCCTTCTTTTGGATCTAAATTTGCAAGATGTTGTGACAAGGGCTTTCAACTATCTAATCTAATTGAAAGCCCATGGTTGTAATAAGCATTAGCATACTGACTTTTATGAAACATATCGAATGGCAAATCCACAATATTTCAGGAGGAGTGAATTGTAATTTTGCTTTTCCAGACATGTTGGTAATTTAACAAAATACAAAAATGTTCCTTGCCATTTTTGTAAAACAAAATGTAAACTGAGCAAGGTGATATACCATTTATATAAAGTGCCATCTATGACAAAATATTATGATTTGGACATGGGTTTCAATGTAACAGTTTCAGTGCAAGATTTCATTAAAACCAAATTAAGTCCCATATTTCAGCCCAACTCATGCCCACATGTATAATGTATAGTAAACACTTAAATCATTTTTATATGCTAATTAAAACAGCCCCTTTGGCTTTTTAAACCCAAAATTAAAATCACAAAATATCATCAGTTTTTCAAGAGAACAGAGTGTAAAATAGTAAAACACAATAGCAGATATTTATAATGAGTTATGTTACATTTTCAGTTAAAAGGTATAAACATATTTTAAGTGTTTTATTTGACGTTTAGGGAGAATACTATAGTATTATTATCAGCATAGGAGGTGATATTTTTATTGGGAAGATGAATTGCTTTCTTACTAATTGTTATGTGCACAAGCAGATACAACCAGGTCTAACTTAAACATAACCTTTCTAAAGTTAGAATATTTTTGGTTGATACTTTTCCTTGTCATAAATTTTCTCATTATAACCATCATGAGTCAGAATGAACTAAAATTATATTTAGCAATATGGGTTTATAATGAGGGGTGATTTGATATCTATACAAGGCACTAAATAAATAAAGATACAAACATTTTCTATTATTCAGAGCCAGAATGAACTAAAATTATATTTAGCAATTTTGGTTTAACCAAAAGGGGGGTGATTTGATATAATAAACTAAATAAATAAACATATAAACATTATCCAGTTATGTTAAATTAAGAAAAGTAAAAGATGATTAAAATTTAAAATCTGGCATAGCTCCATGGCACGAAAGAATGATAGGCCGAAACAATAGTTATAACAGACTGATATACAAATATATGGCTAATTATAGTGGCATTTTATGAGGAGGCAGTCCAGTGTCTTTAATCAAAGGAATGTTTGGCTATCTCTTTATTCTAATATTTGCAATATAGCTTATCATCTCATTGATATACAACCCAACCTGTGTGTGAAATCATATTATGGTCATGTTATCAAATGGAAAATAGAGTGGAATAGAGAGGATGAAACAAGGAATGAAGTAAATACATGTTAGTTAGTTTACAATTTCAATTGTTTATAAATATCATAAAACATGTCTGTGTATTCATGATTTAAAGGCATAAAAGGGAAATAAGGCATCATTAGGTTTTATTTGAAGTCCATGCACTTTATCAGTAAAACTAAGGGAATGTATTCACATTTTGACAAATGGGGAAAAAATGAAACCAATTTAGTTTGGGGCAGTGTTACTGGACAAACTTTAGGAGAAACATGTGAAAATATGTAAACAGAAAATAAACAATTTGAAAATATCATTTAAGCGGTGGGTGGGGATATAAAGACCAAACAAAATAAAAATTTCCATAATATTTGGATATTTGATATATGGATGCCATCCCCAAACTTGCAGATAATTGTACTGTATGCATATTGTATTAACATTATTTGTCATTCTCAGTATTATTTAACATATAACTAACATGCCAACACCAAGGATTAGTCAAACCACATACAATATGGTACAAAAGGACGAAGCGTATACAGACTTAAACGACAATATGGAAGTTGTTGATCCAGAGAAAGATTCAGAAGAGTTAGGATGTTGCGGAAAATGCCTCGCAAAAGTTTTTGGCTTCATCGAAGAACTGACTGATAAATGGTGGTTCGTTGGAGTTGTCTTCACAGTGATTCTAACGATTAACATTGTTGGGATTGTTCTTGATTGGCTCGTGGTTGTCGATATATTGAACATGACAAAAGGTCTGGTGTTCGGTCCTCCAGAGGTTGAAATCACCAATGCGATAATCACAGTTACTGCATTGAGTTCATTCACCTTTCTACTTGAAGTGATTAATTTGGGAATTGAAATGAAAACTGGAGAACCATGGATCGAGGAAGACACGGGTCAGGTCATTACTTTATACTTGAACAATATCCCATTAACAATCATCAATGCATTCATAGCGGCCTGCAGGGAAATCGCCATAAGTTATTTTGTTTTGGCCAAAACAGGCTTTAGTCTGTTATCAGTGGCGATACGATTATTTCTAGCATTAGTGCATTTTGTGACGAAAAAGGAAAAGACATATCGAGACTCTTTTACACGATTCCTGCTTCTGATTGGACTTGGTGTTCTATTCAGTGCATCTATGGCTATATTTATTTTTTCCTATGTCTCACCACAAGAAGGCAATGAATACATTTTCCGTAAACCTGAGACTTGGGTTAAGGAGCGTCCAAACAGGGCAAAATATTTTGATGGTGTTAGTATTTTCTACAATTCTCCAAGTTTCAACTGTGGTACCCAAGGCAATGACACAAAATGGCTGAAACTCGAATCTTTATATGACGAACTAGAGGAGAAAGTTAACAGGAATTGGTTTGAGTTGGAATTCACTAATTCTGGTGCGCAATTTCGAGTAATTAATCAAACCAGTGAATCTACAGATATATCCAGTTGCTTTAGCATGGACTTTGGCACTTGTTCTGTCATAAAACAAGTTCCAGCTAGTTGCAATTCCTTATCAGGGATTATGTCTACCACAATAAAGCTCACATTCAAATATGATAAACCAACTAAATATTTAGTAATGGGGGATATCAAATATAACGCCAAGTTAACATCAAATCAAACCTGCGTGGACACTCAACAATCGCCAGATGGCAAACTAAAGTATTTAAACAATGAACTAGGCCAGTTGGTATACTTCAAAACCAAGACAACAGCGGCTAACACTGGGCATTTTCAGGGAAATGACACCACTGGGTTTGACTTTTATACATACCCCAATGATATTCAAAACATTGAAGAAGTTTGGATTACTGGCTTTAGGCAGTGTCCAATGTCTGGCAGCAAATATCCAAACTTGGATGCAACTTTACCAATAGTGTGCTAGCTAAAGAAAAATTGTTAGTTTCTAGAGACATGATGCATGTCTACATTCAACAGTTCTACATGTAACTACTTTTTACATTTTGTTAAAAAACACTGATTTTTAAAATGAACCAACTCTGATGCTTTGAGAAAAAAACATAAAATCATTATTTAAAATCCTTATGACTAAATCAAAAATACTACAAAAAATAAAAGGCATCCCAGTTAAACACACAATTACCTGGCACAGGCCTGAATTTATTAATGGGTGCTTATCTTTTTGAATTGACTTGATCTACGATGTTTAATATTGCAATTATGATAAACATATAACACTGGGATTCTACTTCTGAGAATCCTGGGCTCACCTATTTTTGAAGTAATTTTTTGTATTGTGCATAGTCCTTGTAAAACTTGATAATTACAATCTACAGTATTATAAAAAATATCTATTTGTATGTAAACTATAAAGAATTCTTCAGCAGGAAGTCATTCATGTGTTTATTTTGTTTTCATCTCTAATCTGGTCTCAAAGATGTTTGAAGTTCATTCTAAAGTTCCACAATAAATCCTACAACATATCCATTTTGTTACTGCTTGACACTGTTTTTGATTAATGCCAAATTGTTATAATGTTAGTTAATGAGAAAACCTTGTACCATTGCACTAAAAGCAATCAGGAATTTAGTACAACAGCCTCTATTTCATTTGCATTTAGCTCAGTAAGTTAAGCAACAGCTGCAAAGATTTATTAGGAAAAATACATATTCAGACAACTCCTTTAATTCATAATTTTTAGATCATTAATTGATATATACATACACACTGGCGGATCCAGGGGGGATTTGGGACCTTAATTAGTAGGCCTTTTTGGGCATAAAAGCTTGGCCTTTTTAGGCCAAATCATCAATAGATTGGCCATAAATTTTCAAAATTTGGGCCCATTTTTTGGATTCAGGGGCTCAAAATTATTTTCAACACAAGCGCAGATATTTTTTCAGATTTAAAATTTGGGTCCCCCGTGTTAGCATCTGGATCCGCCAGTGCATACATGTAGTTATAACAAGAATATACATACTGGATTCAGTGATTTCTCTGTGGTTGATGGTGGCTTTAGATGGATCAAATGCTCCAGTGCGTATGGCGTAGTCTGTACTTAAAGCCATAGTGTTCACCCAGTGGCCATGTCCTTGTAATGTTCTACAAAGGGTGCCCTGTAACAGTTAATGGGTACAATGATAGAAACATATTTTACAAATGCTTATATTCAGGTGAGGCCTGTAGACAAAATTATTTTAAAATCATGCAATTTTTCACCATTTTGAACAGCTTGTTAATCCCTCCTGGAATTCTTCAGAAAATGAACTCAATAATCAAGTAACCATACTACCCCCTGACTGTTAATAGTTATTATTTTAGAATTCAGCTCATAATCTAAATATTCTATTCATCACATACACAGTTAGTGGAAAACAAAGTTGAAAATCATAAACATTACACATTGACGCTAATTAATAAGCCCATTTTTGGAAAATATAAATACAGAAAGCCCAAAAAAGCATTCTTGACATCACTCTGTATTACAATTTAGATATGACACTTACATCTTCAGCTCTCCAAACTTTAATGGTTCTGTCTTGGGATGCGGAATACAGCAGATTGGTGCCACCCCACTTAACACATGTCACAGATTGCACATGGCTGGATAATGTGATTTTACACTGGCTTAATACAGTGTCCCAGATCTTTATAGTGGCATCCTGCGAATAAAGAGAATATTGGATGGTTTCATTAGATTTAATCTACAACTGGTTGTTCAAACATGTATTTCTACATATTTGGTTTTTGAAATGGAGCAGATTGAACATGAACCTTATTGGCCTCATATCTTCATGGCCACATCCAGAAAATTAGTCATTCTGTGTACTGTGAAGAGATTTCAACAAAATTGGTGCATTAATCTGAGTTTTTGCTTGAAACATTTTAGTGTAATAGTTTATGGATTTTTTTATTTTATGGATAGAAGATTGCATATTGCCTAATGTTGCCTTTACACTTTCTGTTTACTATTTCACATACCTTAGATGAGCTCACTAGATATCTGCATTCAGCATCTCTGTAACACACAAACATAAAACAATAACTAGTATAGGTCATCAGGAAATTATTAATGGAGGACAGTTATACTGTATATCACTTTAAAGCTTTGTGTGCAAAATATTATTATTCTGCGGGGACTGAATGAGTATAATGGAACATTTTCTTTTGTATTTAAGACTACATTAATACCATGTTAACATCAAGCGTAACTTACAAGTGTAATGGTTTCCATGACAACCATGTGATCCATTGTTTGTGTCCTGTGAGAGTTCTACCATTTTGTTTACCAGTAACTGGATCCCAAACAAAGATCTGAAAATCAAATCAATTCACACACATTCATACATATTCATTATTATTGGGGATTGATTCATATGCTACATAAAGGTTATTTAATGAGAGGTTTTTGATACAGAGTATATCTGAGGGAAATACAATCTATCAACCCCAAGGGACCATAGGGAACGAGGGTTGATATATTGTATTTACTGAGTGATATACCCTGTATCAAAAATCAAGCATTTAATAATTGATTTATTCTATACTATAGATAATGAGGGTTTTTAAAGTCCCCTGGCTCAGTATCGACTCTGAATTTGTGACGTCGTAGATCTGATAAGGATAAGATATTAATTATATTCCTGCATGTTATTTATATACCTATAACACTACTAAGTATGGAATAAATGTGTCATCAACAACAGGATAATCTAATAAATGCTAAGAATATGAGTGAACTGAAATTGTTAAATCAAGATTGTGGTTCTATATAGACCAGATACTGCTACAGATGGTCCACTTGCAGAGGTGTTCCACTTTAAAGTTATACTGTATTTTTAATAATAACCAGAACAACGGCAACGCCAAAGCGTAGCGAATCCCATCGAACATTTTTCAAAAGGGGCACCTTCTACCAAAAGTGTCATTAGACAGTGTGCCAGCTTATAGTATTCACATACCAAATATGAACAAAATCGCTCCACTACTTTTCGAGTTATAGTAAAATACATTAAAATGGCGGTCATTTTGAAAAATGGCCACCTTCGACCAAAAGTGTCATTAGACAGTGTGCCATGCTTATACGTATTCACGTATCAAATATGAACAAAATCGCTCCATTACTTTTCGAGTTATAGTAAAATAAGTTAAAATGGCAGCCATTTTTCAAAATGGCCACCATTTTTCAAAATGGCCACCTTCTACCAAAAGTGTCATTAGACAGTGTGCCATGCTTACAGTATTCACATACTGAATATGAACAAAATCGCTCCACTACTTTTCGAGTTATAGTAAAATATGTTAAAATGGCGGCCATTTTCAAAAATGACCGCCCTCTACCAAAAGTGTCATTAGACAGTATGCCATGCTTATACGTATTCACATACCAAATATGAACAAAATCCCTCCACTACTTTTCGAGTTTAAGTAAAATAAGTTAAAATGGCGGCCATTTTTCAAAATGTCCGCCATTTTTCAAAATGGCCACCTTCTACCAAAAGTGTCATTAGACAGTGTGCCATGCTTATAGTATTCACATACCAAATATGAACAAAATCGCTCCACTACTTTTCGAGTTACAGCAAAAAATCGTAAAATAACGAGTAAAGACCGCCATTTTTCAAGATGGCTGCCATGTGCTTTTTTAATATCTACATTTCTAGCTTTATTAATGTCCTATATAATTTTTTTTACATTTAAAACATATTGCTATTACAGTTTTACATATTGCACCTAAATTACTGTAAAATCGGCACTAAAATGGCCGCCATTTTTAAATAAGCGGCCATTTTGAAAATCGGCTTTCGAGCAGAACTTCTACCCCCATAGGGTATATGTGTACAAAATATGAATAAAATCGGACCAACGATATTTGAGTTATTGCCCGGACGGACGGACGGACAGACGGACGTACGTACGGACGGACGGACGGACGGACGGACGTACGGACGGACGGACGGACGGACGGACGGACGGACGGACGGAGGCGTTCCCTATATCCCTCCGAACTTCGTTCGATGGGATAATGATTTATTTATTATTGCAATGTCCTTTGTAAATTACATACTTGACTATTTTTGCACCCAGATGCTAGTTTCCTCCCATTAGGTGACCATGCTATACACAGCACCCAGTGTTTATGACCTAAAATGATGTTATACATGTATATTGTAGTCTTAACTTGTACTTTCACTTTCATTCTAGATTACAATGCCATCTATCTATCACCAGTCAAACTATAATGAATTTTAGTTATGGGCTGAAATTATAAATTAGGTTGTTGTAATCCTATGTTTATTGGATAACATAAATAATAAATAGTTATCATAGCTAAATGAACAGCTAATACAAAATATTTTCAATAAAATGTCAATTCATGTCTGGTAAAGGGGCGATGAGAACAATTATTTTTAAAGTAGATCCAAAACAATAATTTCAAATTTATTTCATGGGGCAGTGGGGGAAAGACAGTTAAATCATAGCAGAATTGACATAAATTTGTCTTATCAGACAACATTTGGACACCTTCCCTCAGATCAGATGATGAGGATAGTATTACCTTTGCATGTATGATGTGGTGTTTCTGTATTAATATCCCAGAATCTAACTGTCTGGTCCCCTGACCCACTAGCAAGATACCTGAAGAATAACAATTTGTGTACAGTAAAACCTGTGTAAATTGAATGTTCTTCATACAAGAACTTTTAACTACATTTGATGTGAATATATTCATGAATCTAAATATTGGCCCATGTCTCACCTGCCATCAGGACTGAACTGTGCGGGTATAACTGCCTCTGATACAAGATACAAGAACTCTTAACTACATTTGATATGAATATTCATGAATCTAAATATTGGCCCATGTCTCACCTGCCATCAGGACTGAACTGTGAGGGTATAACTGCCTCTGATACAAGATACAAGAACTTTTAACTACATTTGATATGAATATTCATGAATCTAAATATTGGCCCAAGTCTCACCTGCCATCAGGACTAAACTGTGCGGATATAACTGCCTCTGATACAAGATACAAGAACTTTTAACTACATTTGATATGAATATTCCTGAATCTAAATATTGGCCCATGTCTCACCTGCCATCAGGACTGAACTGTGCGGACATAACTGCCTCTGATACAAGATACAAGAACTTTTAACTACATTTGCAGATGTGAATATTCATGAATCTAAATATTGGCCCAAGTCTCACCTGCCATCAGGACTAAACTGTGCGGGTATAACTGCCTCTGATACAAGATACAAGAACTTTTAACTACATTTGCAGATGTGAATATTCATGAATCTAAATATTGGCCCATGTCTCACCTGCCATCAGGACTGAACTGTGCGGACATAACTGCCTCTGATACAAGATACAAGAACTTTTAACTACATTTGCAGATGTGAATATTCATGAATCTAAATATTGGCCCATGTCTCACCTGCCATCAGGACTGAACTGTGCGGGTATAACTGCCTCTGATACAAGATACAAGAACTTTTAACTACATTTGATATGAATATTCATGAATCTAAATATTGGCCCAAGTCTCACCTGCCATCAGGACTAAACTGTGCGGATATAACTGCCTCTGATACAAGATACAAGAACTTTTAACTACATTTGCAGATGTGAATATTCATGAATCTAAATATTGGCCCATGTCTCACCTGCCATCAGGACTGAACTGTGCGGGTATAACTGCCTCTGATACAAGATACAAGAACTTTTAACTACATTTGATATGAATATTCATGAATCTAAATATTGGCCCAAGTCTCACCTGCCATCAGGACTAAACTGTGCGGATATAACTGCCTCTGATACAAGATACAAGAACTTTTAACTACATTTGATATAAATATTCATGAATCTAAATATTGGCCCAAGTCTCACCTGCCATCAGGACTAAACTGTGCGGATATAACTGCCTCTGATACAAGATACAAGAACTTTTAACTACATTTGATATGAATATTCATGAATCTAAATATTGGACCATGTCTCACCTGCCATCGGGACTGAACTGTGCGGATATAACTGCCTCTGCATGCCCTTCTATACTACTTGTACACCTAGTAACTGCGCGTACACGGAACACAGCCTGGGGCTGATACACAATCTCTAGCACTTTCTCACTGTCTTCTAATGCTTTATTGTCTAATGATTGTTCCAAACTGTCCACTATTTCAGTGTCATTTACAAAGAATGCATATGGTGTTGTTTCATCCTGAAATCAAATGAAGTTTTGATAAAGTCTTGCATTCAATGGTCAGTATACCAAGTACAATCAAGAAAAGCTTGTACAATGAACAACAAAATTTAGAAATGAGTACTATAGATTAGCTTTCAGACACTGGACCGATTGACCTAGATAACAGCGATCAGTTGTTTGTGGGTTTTCAACATAACATATAATGTAATTTGAAAATGAGCACCTAATTCTGTTGTTGCATCAATTTTGCAGTTTGTACTGCGGTAAGATTGGAATGAAAGTGTTGAAAGTCGAATGAAATAATCTTTTCCAATATGGCGACTAGTCAACTGATCACGTGACCTTCTTTTCCAGAATATTTTCTCATTTTCAATCTTCGTTCTCACCACGCTATGAATCAATACAATGAAAAAATATATATATTTGTTATATTAAGATTAATAAGAGATCAATCGTCTCTGATAGTTTCTCCTGTACTAGTACAGGAATATAAATGAATATATCGATTAAAAAATAGGTGTGAAAATCCAAATGTTAAACCTATGGGGGAAAACAAGGAATAATGAATTTGCTCCTCCGCGAACTGCATCATGGGAAATATTTTGACCTTATAAGGCAATTTCTTTCGCGTCTCCTCTTTTGAAAAGGGAACAACAAATATGAGAATTGTCATTCGTCCATACTGACCTTCTTATCCCAACGAATGAAGTTCGGTAGGGATAAAGTGAAGCCCTCCGTCCATCCGTCAGTCAGTCAGTCAGTCAATCTGTCCCGAAGATAACTCGAATACTAGTAGACAGATTTTGTTCATATTTGGTGGAAAGATGTGCTGGTTGCCACTTTAAAAATTGGAGGAATTTTTCATGGAAATCTTAAGTGTTTCATTTTAAACCAAGAAATAAGAATCATTGTTTGAAATTTTGAGGGTGTATTCACAACATCTATCTATTCATGTATATTTAGAGTTTTTCACCATGAAAATGGGTCATGTATCGGGGATCAGGAAAACAGTAATTTGCGTTAATTTTGAGATCTTTCTGAAGTATAGCTTTATTATACTCAAATGAAATGCAATTTAGAAAAGATTGCAAATATCGTATCGTTTTTGTAATTTGGGCCTCGTAAAATTCAAAATGGCCACATCTTAAGTGCCGTTTAATATATTTTAACGGTTGTTTTGTGGTGTTTTTGAGAATCATCCCATTACCGGATTGTATTTTCATCAATATTATCAAAGGTATTGTTGAATCATACAGGGTGTCAAAAAACAATATATTATGAAAACATATATATTATTAAGCTTGTAAATCCTTCAAGAATTATGTTTTTTCTAATTTTATAATGCGAACAGAAGTACAAAAGTCTACAAGTGACACTCAAAGAGTACTAAAATGTTTATAATTTTAAATCACCACATCCTACATTGGATTTCGAATACTTAGGGGGATGAATGATACACCAGATATACCCAGTGATTCAGATATGTTACAGAAATACATTCGCCTGGATATGGAATACATTCCTGGTTAATATCCCTATCCCTGAAACCTCATCAGGTATGAAATACATCATTTTCTTCAGAAAGCATTGTACTATCGAAATCAACATTGCCAGCATAGTATTCATGAACATGAGTATAATGATTCCCAATGACAGTGATCAAATCCGTAAGATTAATTTTTCACGGGAAAATCTAAAAATTAATGGCTAAATGAATATGTGCATGGTATGGTAAAATCTGTTAGGTTTGCTTTGATTTTTTTCGAAACTGTTTCGCTCGTAGGGTGTGAGATCTATTAAAAATAAAAACGAGCAACGCATTTAAAAACACTTTAAATGGTCTAAGAAATAATCAAAATTATACAGAGAATGAAGGAGTGAAGGGAATGGATGGGGAGGGGAGTAATTGTGAAATTAATTTTGTAATGATTATTTCATCTAACATTTATTACAGTCCATGAAGACTACCATTCCTTGATTTACAACAAAAATGTTGACTTTTACACCCTGGTGACGTTGCGCCTTTCTAAAAAGCTCACTCCCTTGAAGCGTATCCGTAATTAAGAAAAGAAAATAGAAAACCTTAAAGATTTTACCATCATGTACTAATCAATTAGGTGATCTATTCGCTTTAACTTTTTAGTGAAAAAAATAAAACTTGCAGATTTGTTGAATTTTCTAGCAGAAATTGAATACCCCTCTCCGTTCTTTTTTTCCGATCACCAGGCATGATCATGTGATATTTGAATTAGTATTAATAGTAATTGAATTATACAATGGATGGATGGACAGACAAACGTGTGGCTTCTCTATACTCCAGTATTTATACAACATGCAGGGATAAAACCCAGAATTCAGAAACAAAATTAGCCCGGAAAACATGGAAATGAAATATACTGTCAATAACAAAAATATTTCCAAATCTTTAATTGTAAAGACCCTTTTTATTTTCAAATTGTGCATGTACATCGAGAAAGGCAACTTTGTTTTCCGGTACTTAAGTTTTTAAAATAAATATTTCTATTCTGAAGCTTTTTTGTTTTAGCAGTCTGTAACCATGAATTTATTGTCGCAGACATTGTTTTCCTTCGGTCATGATCAACGAACAGTGCATTCCTTTTGAATATGTCTATGTTGAACCAATGACACGAGAATAGAAAATTTGAACAGACATTTGGTGATTAAGTGCGTGTATTTATAATTGGACGATTTGATCTTCCCGCCAGATTACACTTCAAACTTCGCTAGTTCTCTAAAGTGGGGGACAAAAATAAAACTCAACGTTCACAAGTTGTCACAATGAGCTTATTTCCAAGTTTCGTGTCTCAAACTCTCCCAAGCGGTAGAAAAATAATTCCCGTTCACTAAAGTAGCACAATAAATGAATCCAAAGCTTCATACCTGCAAATAATGGATAAATCCCTACCAAAACGAATGAATGTTTTCATGAATCGCCATGTTTGTTGTCCAAGGACGGTTGACTCCCAGAATGCAACATCAGTTAACCTTATTTACTCATGACAGGTTTCAAAATGGCGGAACAGCATTTTGAAAGCTGGCACGTGTCATGTTGCATTCTGGGAGCCAATCCTCCGTTCCAGCGCAATCGGGCGACAAAATCACCTCAACATTTGAAGAGTCGGCATAACATGTGAATATCCAATTCAACTTTTGAAGTTCTTATTTGTCATTAGGGACACAAATTCCACTATATTTGGACTTACTAAGACGGAGAAAATAGAGCACTGAATACACTGAGGTAAGAATTTATTACATGTGCGACAGCATGTGATTTTCATAGCTTTTGCAATTCTTTATGATCCCCACTGTACTTTGCATCCCTATTGTTTTACGTTTGCTAAATGCGATTGCTCTCAACTGATAATATCATGCAACCCAAGTGTTGCATTCTGTGACAGCTGTCACAGCACAGACGCAACACATAAATTTTGCGACCAACTCATAATGAGGCCTCTGATCTCTTCAAAGTATTGCTATCTTAAGCTCAAATTGAAGGAAGTTTAGGGTAGATCACTATTATATGGCATTGTCTTTCTGATTTGTGCTATATTTTTTGTGCTTGTATTATAAGCTTCTATTATGACAAAATGTTAGTTACCTTTTCAAGGATTGCACTGCAAACCAATTGCAATTTTGTTGTGTTGATGTTTATTGGAAGATCAAATGGTGCCCCTGTTACTTCTCCTGATTCGCTGCGGAACTGAGCTAAAATACGCCTTCCCTCTTCTGAAACGGTCTCCCTGCAGGAAAATTAAAATATCATTCTAATATCATATCATCTTACACATTTGAAATTATTGCTATCTCTGGTCATGTTTTGGGCACAAAATAAAGTTTGAAGACAAGTGTGTATTCCCTTAGTTCATGTATGGGACAACCTACGTATCATCACCAGTATATCACTGTCACCTCATTTAAAAACCATGGGTCGTTATACATGTAATAATTACATCATATGCGATGCCAACCAATAATTCTATGGATAGAGCCATTGCTAGATTTTCATCTGAATAATCATACTATCTTTCTTGATCAAATCTGTATCTTATTATGTGAGCCACTATTCTGTGCCGTCAGTTGAATTTTTGTGGAAAAATTGCCGTCAGTATGCATATATAATTTGCCCTTCATCATCTCAGTATTATAAAAGTGCTTTTAAAAGCTCAAATATAATATATTATTGACATGTTTAAAATGAATGATATTCCAAGACCTTAAAACCTGAGTTACCCTACCAGCAAAGGTTTAAAAATAATGTCATCATCTCAGTAATTGGTCCCCATCATTTCATTTTCTGTTTCATGTCTCTTTCAAAGGCTGCTGACTGGTCTAATAGAACAGTCTTTACTTGCACCTATCAGATGCTAGAGAATCATGAATCATGATGGCTGAAATTGAAAAACTGAAATCAGCTGCTTTTTCCAAATGTTTCCTATACATCTCCATCCTCTGTTTGCATAGTCTGTAAGTCATTAGCTGTTTCTATGCCTATCACGACTTCTCTTTATCTTGGATATTTTCTACTGAGAGATCAAAATGGCGGACTGGCGGTTAAGATGGAAATTCACAAAGTAGCGTTCAAAATCTCAGGAGATTTTGAATGAACTTTAAAAATTACTTAACTTTCAGTAGCTCTCATCTGGAAATTACCAGATATTTCGAAAACTACTTCGTAAATTTCTGTCAAAACCGCTATTTTGATTTCTTGCAAGAAAATCAAAATGTGCACTTTAGGATAAAGATAAATTGACAGAGAACATTTGGAGGTATAAAGTAAGCAGTAGATTTCAATATTTCAGTTTCAGCCATCAAGATTCTTACAATTGGGTGATAGGTGGCGAGTAAAGGCTGTTCTATCAGATCAATCAGCCTTTGGAAGATGTACTCTGTTACCAGTCAACTCCTCAGTTTTTCCTACCTGCCAACTCAATCATCCAATCAATTACTAAAGGCATGGGCTTTCAATAGATAATGTCCTGGAACGTACAAATATACTGGAATTTGTGTCCATAATGACAAATAGGAACTTAAAAATTTGTGATATTCACATGTTAATGCCGACTCTTCAAATGTTGAGGTGATTTTGAAGCCCGATTAAGCCGCAAGGAGGATTGGCTCCCAGAATGCAACATGACATGTAACAGCTTTCAAAATGCTGTTCCGCCATTTTGAAACCTGTCCCGAGTAAATAAGGTTAACTGATGTTGCATTCTTGGAGTCAATCCTGCGTTGCGGCGTAATCGGGCTACAAAATCACCTCAACATTTGAAGAGTCGACATTTTGGCGTTCAGTTTTGTGCTGTATCGGCGATCACTTTTTTGAAGTTTTTCTACAGGAATATTTTTGCTTGACAATAATCAGGTAAAATGCGTATTTGCGTGACATATTCTGTCATGCAAAAATAACTGGCGTGACTTCAAATTTTCCAGCAAATGCGTGACAAATATGCAAATTGCGGGACAGTTGGATGGCCTGCATTATTAGTCAAGTGAACTCAACTTAATGTTGTTTCACGTTTCTTTTTTATGATTTGGATATTTGTTATTTTATTTTTGTTTTCAACATTTGCGTCGAGGGTATTAGGCTAAGTATATTGTGGTAAAAACGCTTTTCTGCTCTCTATACCCAACCAAAGTTACACAGATAAGATAATAGATAGAATGCTTCGACTAGAATGTATTAAATCTTACCTTAAACACAGGAAACACTTGATAATTGAAGAAATGTAATCATTTTCGTATATGTTTGAACCAATTTCCGATATGGCTCCCAAGGTCACGGAACACAGTCTAAATATGAAACCATGCAACCAAAACGAAATCGTAATTATTTATTACCTTATGTTACTGATCATGTTTATGCATATACAATCCAATTAGAAACGAAATGGAGGTGATGAAATGTGCATTTTTGGAAAATCACACATTTTTATCAACGTCTTATATTTACATCTGTGTAGGTCTGAATATCTTGACCAACATATCTGTTTTCGGTTTCTTCACCCTCCTTGGTATCTGAGAAGGAGATTCAATCGCTATAAGACGTCTTCCTCCCCCTGTACAACTCACTTTTCTCATATTTGAAACGATGAGTAACTTTTTCGAGTTGAAATCTTGATCTCAATATGGCTGCCGTTATTTATTGTAATTTCGTTTTTCATTTCACCTAGACTTTTACTTTTACATGATCATTACCCAGAATGCATCTACACATTGGGAAAAAAATTTGTTTTCAGAAAAATACTTATACTTCTTCAATTATCAAGTGTTTAACGTGTATAAGGTAGAATTAAAATAATACATTATAGATGAAGACCATATTCTAATACATCATTTGTGTGATTTTGGTTGCCAAAACAGGCCAGGAAATCGTTTCCCGCAATATCCAATAATGTAATTTTTACGACCCTCATATGCAAGAAAATAATAAAAAATAAATATCCAAATTATAAAAAAATAACGACAAATATGGCATACGATGGTCTGATTTATATGACTATGCATTATGGACACAAATTCCACTATACATGTATTTGGACTTACTAGGACAGAGAAAATAGAGCACTGAATATACTGAGGTAAGAATTTTTACATGTGCAACAGCATGTAATTTTCATAGCTTAGTATTTCTTTGTTCCCCATTTGTAATGTCTTCGACTATAGTTCATTTGAGAATCAAATAACAACTTTCAATGATTCTACAGTCAAAACAGTAATGTTTGTGAGTACTTTGAATTTAAAAAACAAGCAATCAAATGACCATATTGAAACAGTTTATGTAAAAATAGAAACATTTATATTTATCCTAACTTTTGTATATTTCAGATAGTAATGTATAATGTGCAGCAAAGCTGTGGCCTTTTGTAATTTAGGGAGTTTCAGCCATGTTAATTTTTCCGAAAATAACATGGCAGAGAAGTATCAAAATATAAGAGGACACAGCTATGATAGCTAAAACTAGAAAACTAAAATATACAAAAGTTAGGATAAATATAAATGTTTCTATTTTTACATAAACTGTTTCAATTTGGTTATTTGATTGCTCAAAGTACTCATAAACATTACTGTTTTGACTATAGCAGTGTGTATTCCTCCAAGCCCGAAGGGCCAGTGGAATACACCTTGCGGATGATGAACAGATGAACAGGTAGTCACCTCAATAGTATGAAACATCTGTATAGACCACGGTTATGGGAAGTCCTCCATATATTACTATTATATTATTTCTCAGGTTACGCAGCTTCCATCCAAAATAAAAAATATGTATTTTTAAAATAAATTATTTGTCTAGTGTCTAGTGTCTAGTTAAACAAATATCCTGAGACACATAGGGCCTGTAGAAAACACTAAACAGAAAAATAAAAAAAATTCTCTCCAAATCTGCTTTATTGGTCAGATATAATGCACCAAATCATAATGGTTGTTCAAAATAAAAATTTAAGGGGACGGAGCGCCGGATCTCGCGAGAATAAAGCAAATCACGCAAAGGCGCGCATGCGCACAACGGTACCTGGAAACATGGCTCAGTTTGTGAATTTACAAGGGGAAATGTCAAGGATTTAGTTGCCGCTGGTCATAATGTTTGCATTGTAGGTCAACTTCTAAGACAACTCTTCTTCGAGAATTACTTTATGATGCCAAAAATGCCGGAAAAAAGGTAGAAAACGCAATAGTGTTCCCCAGAATTATCGCGGGGTTTTTATGACACATGCGCAGTAGAAATTGTCAATTTACTGAGCGGAACTTTCAATGGCCTGGAGAAATTTTACTCAGAGAATTGATGATTACTGAACACATATAGGCATAAGAGGTGAGCGACCCAGTTATTTTTGCGTATAAATGTTTCAAGAATAGCATGATAGACTATCAAATAATCTGTACATTATGCTACGATTCATTCAAAAATTGAATCTAGAGGACAGGTGACCATATTTTTTTAATTTTAAGTAACATTACCTGGTGTATATACCTCCTAGATGGAGGACTTCCCAATATCCGTGGTATAGACCGAGTATTGTGAGCTTATTATCGCCCACAAAAAAAATAAAAAATATTTTGGGCCGCCATCAACATTATATATAAATCACCTGTCAAGTATTCAGTACTCACGTCATAGTAATATTCCTTTTGGAGTTATATATATAACAATAGTTTATATTTGATCAGTGCTGCTGGAGAAATACTATATTTTATAACAAAATATTATTTTTTGAAATTTCCATGCTTCCGGAAGTGTACACATTCCAAATATTATTTTCAGTTCATACTATATATACTGGCGTTCTTTCAAATAATTAATTTCATTTCTATTTGAATAAAAATAATCTTCAAACATCTAGAACAAAAATAAAGAAGACACAAAAGCATTGATTAAAGCTTTGAAATCATTAGTAATTTTAGGAATGTGTTTATATTTGACCTACATCTCTAAAGTGAAATATGGCAAGAAATCCTTCACATATCAGTCGTTTACTGACGACAGTTTTAACAAAGAGCAACATAACAAACAGACGCGTTCTTTGTAGAGGTGAGTATACGATTAGTCTATTACATTTGTTGATTGTAGATTGTGTAACCCCGTACCCATGAATGTGGGTACATGTTTTGCCTTTTTTCTACATGTAGAGTCTTATCCCGTTCCCGGACTATAGTCCTGCACTGATCGCATTCATTTGCCTGTACGATTACAACTTGGGAGAATTATCTACGCCCCTTACACTTAAGATACCTACCTCGATGCATTATAGAACTCAAGATGTAACTTCTAATATATTGGAACCGCCGATTGTCTGGGTATATCGGCAGAACGGGAACATTTTCTCTTTTTCATCGAGAGAGATTCCATCACTTTTCAAAATGGCGGTTGGATTTAAAAGGGGAATCCCCCGTTTGGCTGTCCCGGATGTAGCCCGGAAGTACCAATATGGAGGAATTTGACGGTTGAAATAAGTTAAATGTTACACGCAAATATTACGATCAAAAACGAAAATGTCTTCGTTCTGCCGATAAACCCAGACAATTGTGGATTCAACTACACGAAAAGAATGCTAAATTACCAAGGAATCTATTGAGGTAGGTTTCTTAAGTGGAAGGGGCGTAGATAATTCTCCCAAGTTGTAATCGTACAGGCAAATGTATGGGCTCCGTACAGGACCATAGTCCGGGAACGGGATAAGTAGAGTCCATTTCACTGCTTCATTTCGTCAGTAGAACGGCAAAAATAAGAAATTGGGAGACCATTGTGCAATAATATATGGAAAAGTATATTCATAATCAAAGTCAGCACTATCAATGGTATACTCTACGATATAATAATACTAGAAGTTCACAAACTTTCTGCCATCTTGGTTTCACAACCGCGTCATCTCGCTAAATCTCGTTTACAATCGGTCAGTGTAAAATCGTATCCTAATCGTATCCACGTTGAATCATGGGAATAAAGTACTTCCCTTAAAGCAGATATGAAATGGTATTTTTAACCTAAAGGAATCAATATAATTTTTTGATAGATGTATTTGAACATGTTTTCTCATCAGAAGTGTGAAAACTATTTCACTTTAACGATCGTTATAGCTGCTTAATAAGCAATATTCGAATTGGTTGTGACATTATTGGCCCCCACGTGATCTCTCACTGGTCCCCACGTGGCCCGTTTTGGTCCCATTAGATCATGACGTCATAATGCCAAAATGTTTTGTTATTTGTTTACACAACAATCCTATGGTTGCCGTGACGTTGTGATTACTATGGAAAAAATAAACCAAAGCTATATTTTGTATATGACGTTACTAATCACGTGGGGGCCAATTTGATTTATCAGTTAGTTTTATTTCGTTATCTATGACCGTTAGCAGTTATCTAACATTTATTTTGTAATGGCTATCGCAAGAACTCTACGGTGGGCTTACAATGGGGAAAACAGCATTTTTGTAGCTGCAAGTTGAGAAAAGCTATTTCAGTTGTCCTTTAATGAAAAACCGAACCTCGTGCAGATTAACCAGACTCGCTGTTTACACCAACAATCAATCAGATGGTATTATTACACCAAAAGTAGTGCGAAAAAGTTTTGATGACATTTAAAGACACTGTTCCTCTTTCACGTGCATTATCTCATGGAAATGGGCATACCAGTGCAAAGGTCTTTGTTCCGTGATAAAGGAAAGCTATCAAACATTGTCTGAAGAGCATTCTAATTCTACTTTTAACATGACGACCTTGACAACATATAGCCATTTGGGTGATAATAGGTGATTCTAAAGTGAAAATGAGTGCTTTTTTCGTAGTTTTACTTTGACCAAGGCTTGAAAATAATTGAAGTGATAAACCTTCCACTGGCGGATTAGGAGGGGGGGGGGCTGGGGCCCAGAAAAAAAAATTGGGCCTAAAAAAATTTTTGGGCCAAAAAGGCCTTAAGGCCCCAAATAGTGGGCCTTTTTGGTCATAACTGGGCCTTTTAAGGCCTTATTTTTTAATTTCAGGCCAAATTTTGAAGAAAATGGGCCTCAAAATTTCAAAATTTGGGCCCACTTTTTGGTTTCATGGGCCCCAAAAAAGTTTTCTGACCTGAAATTTGCCCCCCCCCCCCTCCTTGTTGGTTCTCAGATCCGACCCTGCCTTCCCCCCCATTTTTGATATTTTTGTTGTCTAGAAGTGTTCTAGACGATATCAAAGTTTAAGAAAATGTGTATGTCTCGAAATATTTTGAAAATTAGTGCCATTATGGCGGGTCTGGGTGTTTTTTGCTCTCATTTTTACCCATTTCCACAGTTGCAATGGTAACTCATACCTGCCAACCTACCGTATTTTTACCGGCATCTACCATAAAAAATAATATAAATACCGTAAAAAATTACTGTTTTTTCTTGTAAAACAACCGAAAAAATCTACTGTAATTTTACCAAAATCTACCATAAAATATTTTATTATAATTAGATTTTTTCTATAAGAACAGCCGTAAAATATACCGTAAATATTTGAAAATCTACCATATTTCTGCTTGAATTAACAGTATTCTTGTTCAAACTACCGTAAAATCTACCGCAATTATCATTAAATAATGAAAAATTGAATTCTTCTCGTATTGCCCTTGTAAAATTCCATTACCAACCCGAAAATAAATAGGTGCCGGCAGGTCTTTGATGGTGGTTATTGCGTACTTAGTAAGTAACTAGGTAAGCTGGCATGTAATCAATCAACACACTGGGGAATAAACAGTGTTCAACTACCACAGGTGTATCACAGGAAGAGTAATCATGATTAATTTGTAAATTGCTACATTGTAGCAATGGTATGAGTATGATGTCACAGTACACTGGGGCCTAACTGGCGTAAAGGGGGAGAAAAAGGGCAAATTTTGCACATGGGGACCACATTTGACTCAAAATATTTGCATTTAACAACATACATTTCAGTACATTCTGTGTATGATTTCAAAATGAAATAATCTCGGGGATTTTGCGTCTAAATTTTTTGCATGAGATCTCTGAAGTTGATTACCCAATTTTAGGTCATTTTGGCCAGTTTTTAGAGACTCAGCCCTCACCTATTTCCCCAAATATGACTAGATTTTGTAGAAAATGTGTTAAAAGTTTGAAAATGCAGCTGTTTTGAGCATGAAATAACTCAATTGTTTGAAAAAATGCTGAATGAGCAAAAATTATCATAGTAAAATTTTCCCATTTTTGGATATTTAGGTGTTACTACGGTAAATACCACTTCCGGGTAGTGTTTTTTAATACTTTAAAAACAAGCCATGAAACTTCAATGGTGTGTATAGTAGGTTTAAGTGTATGCAATGTGGCCATTTGAGGTATGTATGTAAAGCTGAGGCCAATTACTTTCTAAATGTGCCATTTTTAGAAAAAAATCGCAAGAATATAGTCCCGTAAACTTGAACTACTTTATTCGTTAATTTTCATCGGTGAAGCAGGGATTTTACCTAAAAATGAGTCCCTGTGTTGGCGTAGTGATATTTAAAAATCAAGACGCAAACCCTATGTTAAATATATGGTCAAGATGAAGGTCATGTATAGGGGAACGCAGAAATATAGTTATTGTATGGGCTAATTCGTTCGAAAATGGCGATATGTATCCCAGAACCTGAATTTTGTGATTTTTCAATGATTTACCGTAGTGACACCTAAATGGAAATATAAACACTTCCGGTAAATATTCGGTTCAAGTGCGAATTTGGACCAACTTTTGCAAGTTTGACCAGGAAATCACCTTTCATTTGGTATGTTTGTAACATTTTTGATCGTATTGGGTATGTAAGAATCATATAAAGTGTGTGGCCTCTTATATTGGGATGCTTCTCTGCCATGTTATTTTCAATAAGATTAACATGGCTGAAATTCTTCAAATTACAAGACGGCACAGGCTTATTGCACAAAAAACTAAAAAATCTGAAATATACAAATGTCATTCATGTACATTATGAATAAACTTTTCCATATATTATTGCACAATCACAGGCTGGTATCGAAAGATTTGTCCGCTGTGACGGAGCATGCTATTTTTCATAAAAACACTAAGAATGCTTCACGATTTATTTTTTAACTCATATGTTTCGTTATATCAAAGATAATTACTTACTCCATGCAATGGATATATCATTTGCGTGTAACCTTCACTTCTGTTTGAAGTCCAATAACGCTAGGAGTAAAATTTATTGAAAACGGCGCCAGAGTATCAAACTCTAAAATGTACCATTTCTTTTTAAACTATTTAATGGCATGATATATTAACATATTAATATTAACATATGTTTTCAGCATAACTCTGAATGTATTCATGAGATATTAATGCATTGGGTCTTTTTAATTTTCTTATAAAAAATAATATTAATATTTTTTGTCCGCTGTGACGGAGCATTTTCACAGTTCACATTTGCAACTGCTCCGTCACAGCGGACAAAAAAATTAAACATTATTTTTTAGAAAAAGAATTAAAAAGACCAAATACATCAACATCTCATTTATACCTTCATAGTTATGCTGAAACCATATGTAAATATTATCGTGTCACTATATCGTGCCATTAGAAAGTTAAACAAGAAATGGTACATTTTAAAGTTTGATACTCCAGCGCCATTTTCAATAGCTTTTCTTCCCAGCGTAATTGGACTTCAAACAGAAGTGAAAGTTACCCGCAAATGATATATCCATTGCATGGAGTAAGTAATTTGGTATGGTATAACGAAACATATGAGTTAAAAAATAAATCGTGAAGTATTCTTAGTGTTTTTATGAAAAATAGCATGCTCCGTCACAGCGGACAAATATTTCGATACCAGCCTGTGACAATGGTCTCCCAATTTCTTATTTTTGCCGTTCTACTGACGAAATGAAGCAGTGAAATGGACTCTAGATTTTCAATTTTTGACATTTTTATTCAAAAACAAAAAAGTCAAAAATATCTGTTGAAAGCCCATGGTCAAAGTCAACAATTTAAAAAAGGAATCCACATTTATAGGAGTAGTCTACCCCGGGCGTTCACTTCACAATTTTGGTCACAGTCTATATGCAGTTATGATTTGGGGCAAGCCCAAATCATTAGTCTATCTACCTTCTCTACAAGTTCAACAACGAAAATTTTAATTTGCCAGAGTACCTTTTTTCTATCGGTCGATTCTCCACGAAGATCCTCATTTCCGCGATAATTCCCTTGCTCTGTGTGACAAAAATAAATAAGTGTTTCTTATCCACAATAGTTTTTCTTCCTATATGCGCTCCAATCGAAGATACTGGATAATTTCTGTTAACAATAACTTTGCCGGACTGTTTTCCAACTTCCGGTAGTTGACCTAGAAAATCTGCAATCTGATTGGTTGATTAATTTAGAGGTAAATTCATTGTGTACATTATTCTCCTGGCAGGCATTAAAGATAAACATAACAGTTCAAGGAAAAATATGATTTTTTCTCACCTCAAACTGACTTTATCGGTCAAATACATATAACATATAATGAATCAAATCGGAGATGTTGCTTTTTGACTCAGAGCGCCTTATTTCACGATTTGACAAATCAGATAGCATGATGCATAAGAGACGCATGCGTAAGAGCCATGAAGTTATGAAAGGGGAATTTCATCCTCATAACCTGGTGAATATGATTAGCATCCTCCGATCACAGGGCTTCAAAATCCAGAATATATTCTTTCTTTTAACCCCCTGCGATAAGCAGTTAGCATTTCCCCGACTAAGAACTCGCAATCTCAGAAATCATGTATACAGTAAGTCATTGCGCATTATTAGATCACATGATTCAGTTTAATCGGGCGCTTCCAAGTTGGTTATAGCAGGGGGAAGAAGGAGGTACAGATTCTGGACACCTGCTTAGGTTAGGAGGATGCTGATCAGCTAATAGGAGGACTTCCCACAATTGTACCTTCTTCGACAATTTTCCAATCCATGTTTTCTCTCTCAAATTGGCCAGACTCACAGATACTAGTAATGGGAAGTTCTCCGGATGCCTTATACTGAATACTCCAGGTTTGGCATCTTGAATCAGAAAAAACTGGCTCCGCCCTGAGATGTCGTTATTCACTGACAATTACAATTACAACTGGCAATAAATTCATACATGTAATCCATACAATTGAAATGTTTATACTCATATTCCGATCCTCTATTATGTGTTTTGAATTTTTTAGTTATGGGATAAGATCAAATTTTGCGATTTATTTAGTGTAAAATATATAAATTATAGGAGATATGTATGTAGACGATATTGAAAACTATGGGCTTTCAAACCACCCTGGTTTGGAAGTGGTGATAGAAAATTGACTACTCATTTATTAATTGCCCAAACTATAAATTCCTTCATGTCTCAAAATAATGATGAAGACTACATCATGGGATTGATAATTGGTATATAGAAATATGATAAATTTGAACATGACTGTATTCACTCCTTCTTTTAGCTGTGAACAAAGTCCATATTTCATCCAGTATTTATTTGTCGATACAACACCTGGTAATATGAGTAATATGTGATCTTATAATGGGGGGGCACCCCTCACTTTCTTTGGTCATTCGGGGTGCAGAAAATGTTTGATCCTAGTCCAGGAGTATTTATTCGTCAATATAATACCTGCTCTTCTATAGTATACATCTTAAATACATCCTGATGCAATCCTACTTGTACATTGTCAATTGTCACACTTCATGTTTTATAACATTCTGTGGTATTTCCCCTTTTCATTGCTTACATATTTAATTTCATATATTTTATTACTCTTTCAGGGATTCACTTGACAACAACTCAGCTTAAAGATGGTAGCTCTAATGAACAGATAACAATTAATCCAAACTATGAAAATAGAAACCCAAGGTAGGTTGAATTTATGAGATGTATGTGGCATTTGGATATTGCTTTGCTCTGTTTACCCCTCTAATGCTATCTGGCGTCAGGCCCACCTTGAACTTCAGGACAGGTGAGGCACTGGACATCTCATCTGGGTTACCATAGTAACTGTTTTATAACCAAATGAGTTGAGTATTAAACTATGGTCATTGATCAATATATGTGCTTTTGATGTACTGTAATATGAACTTTCTCCTCCAGAAAAGTTCCACTATTTATGATATATGTATCTAATTAGGCTTGCCCAAGACGTGGGTATATCTTTTATTTATCTTGGTTTTCAATTAATATTCCACGTAATCGCCTTGTGGAATCCCTTCCATCTCACCCAGGCCTGTAGCCAGGGGGGGGGGGGGTTCGCAGGGTTCGGGCGTAATTTTAGCCATATTTGAGCTAAAATTGTCAAATGTGAAGCCCCCTGGAAATCTTTGAAAACTGAACCCCCCCCCTTGGCAAATCCTGGCTACGAGCCTGTCACCTGATAGTATTATTAAGTTTATTCAACAGTTTCAAGATTTCCATAATTCCAATGCATATTTGTCAAGGCTATCGTGAAATCGTATTTATTGGCAAGATGACCTTGTGGCCACTACTCAGTGGCAGTCCGAGTCTTTATTGTATATGAGGCAATGCAAGGGAGTTACAGTTGGCACATAACTTCTGGCTGATTGACCAGTTTACCCAAATAAACAAAGCAAATTGTGACTTGAAAATTGCAAATGTCAATGATTTGATCGAGTATTTCTTCTCAGTTTATAATACTTCTGCAATTAAATTACATTTGAATGTAAGCATAAACCATGCGATAATATGTTGATTTAAAACTGAATTCGCAATGAAAATGCACAAAGATCTTGTCCTGCTAGGCCTAGATCTTGCCTAGAGCTAGTAACATGTTTGATCATTTCAGCGATTTTTCAATGTTTCTTGTAGAAATCCTCTTAGCTCTGGGTATCCAATAGATGCTCCCACATCCACTAAACTCTGGTTGACATTCATCTGATAAAATATTTGTATTTTCATCATGAATTGTGCATAATTTGTTCGTGAAAAGTGACTTGTACTTATTTTGACTGTGCATAAATAGTGAGCTAACACTGCAGTGCCCTCGTTGATTGGTTAAAAGTGGACTGACAATAAAAAACTGCCGATAAACCACTTGTCAAAGTGGAAGGGACAAGGCAGTAAAAATAAAATTAAGAAAATAAAAAGATATTGACTAGGCTAATATCTAATCTCATACTTATAATCCAGCTCCCAGACACAAAACATATTGTGCAGTGCACAGAATTATTCCTTGAGAATATTCATAATGAGGTATAAATTAATGTTGATTGTTGAGCTTGTGTACATGCATTAATTTGAATGTTATAGGAATCTGGAGCTGATGGGATATGCTAGAAAAAGTAAAGGATGGAGGTTCCAGTACCCAGATAGAGAATACTACCACAGGTAATTGATAAATATACCTACAAGTCCTCTCTCATGCTGTACCAAATATGATATATTAGTTGTAGTTAGTGTTGCCATGCACCTCTTAGTGACTTTTAGTGATTTTCTGTATTACAAGAATAACTGATCAATAAAAGATGAGATTTCTGCATTGGTCAGTATCTTACAATTAAGAGAAGAAATAGGGCTATCTTGTTGATTATGTATGAAGCGCATCTATACTCTTCAATTCAAAATACCCAGTCTTGAGGATCGTCAAGATGTGAACTATTATCTTCGATATTCATGATAGTTTTGAAAACTGCAATTCCGTCAGAGAAATATAATCAGATCCAATCCTGAACATCAATAGTAAAAATGACACATTTAATGTGAGTTTATGTACCACATCATTCCTCAGTTCATTTACTAGTTTCCATTATTCTACATCATTCACTAATAATATTAATGAATAGCTAGATTATATTTCATTGGAAGATCAGGAACAACCCAAGTTTACATTTCATCAAAGTTAATGCTTTGGAGATGTTTATTGTATAACAGTTTTTCGATTCTTTCATCCATCATTAATATTACATTTTGATTATGTTTTATGATATTTGTGCATTTGTAGACTAGTCTATGAGCGAACCAAGAATTACATTACTGCCAGTGTTGAGCATTGTACAAATGGGATTGTGATATCAGCATCAACTAAAGAACATGCCATTAGGAAGCATCTGTACAGGTATGACACATCTATACATATTTGACACATCTATACATATATGACACAATGGACATGTGTCTAGAGTTATGACAAATCTATTCAAGAATAACACATCTACACGTGTATGACACATCTCTACATGTATGACACATCTCTACATATATGACACATCTACACATGTATGACACATCTTTACATATATGACACATTTACACATGTATGACAGATCTCTACATATATGACACATTTACACATGTATGACAGATCTCTACATATATGACACATCTACACATATATGACACATCTCTACATATATGACACATTTACACATGTGTGACAGATCTCTACATATATGACACATCTACACATATATGACACATCTATACATATGTGACACAATTGACATGTCTATACAATTAAGACAAATCTATTCAAGAATAGCACATCTACACATGTTTGACACATCTATACGGGTATGACATATCTGTACAGGTATGACACATCAAAAATGACACATATCCCGAAACAGGTATGAATAGTCTGAAATACTCGTATATACAGAGGCATGAAATATTTGCAGTAGCCTATCTTTATCCATTTGGCCATCATGCAAATTTAAATCCAATATTTCAGACAGTAAAAAGACATAACTCTTTATTTTTGTTAGTAGCAGAGTTGTCTTTTCAGAATATGTAAAAGCCATCTTATATAATAAATCCTACCTTGCGTGACATAACCATTTTATTTATGTATTCTTTTATAGTGCCATTGATGCGTCTGCTGCTGAGAATGTAGGTCATGTCCTTGCTGAAAGATGTAAACGCTGTGGTGTAGACTCTATGGTGCCACATATACATCCAGATAAATTGTCAGGAGAGAGGGTAAAAATCCTTATAATTGTTTCCATTTGATTAATTGAGAAGGCCTGGATGAAAAACAAGTCATTAATGCATTATAAGTACTTGCACACCTCATGAACACCACTTGTTTCACACAAGTAAACCATTTGTTTTCATTAAAACTGCCTTTAAATATCTCACAGAATGTTGTACTACTCACATAATAATATCATTTTTGTGCATTCACAAGAAAATTCAAGAATGATTTCAACATAATCAAGACAGTTATTCCAGAATTAGGGTATTAGGGTCACCTTGTACCCTGATATTAATGTAAAGTTTTTTTTTCCAGGTGCAGTCATTCCTAACTGCTCTTCAAGAAGGCGGAGTAACATTAAGTGAAACGCCTACCTATGAGAAACCATATGAATCTGGCATTGACTATGACAGACCATCAGATAAAGAACCTCGTTGGAAAGTACTTGAAAAGCAGGCCAAAGATGGCCAAGAACTGAGAAATGAATTGCTGAAAAATAAAGCTACCTGATATCAAGTGATCTCCCAAGCATTAAAGCCAATGGATGCCTAACACCACCCACTTGGGATTTTGAAAATAAGCTTACAAGTGAAAACACCAGAAAAACGTTGCAATTAATCTTGTAAATGAGAAAATCATGAATGAAGCATATTTTGACCCAAAATGTAAATTTTAAACCCACTGAGAGAACACTAATAAACAATATACATGAAGATTTATTAAGGAGATGAGAGAAAATGAGATAGTTGTACATGTTGATAGTTGTACATGTTGATAGTTGTACATGTTGATAGTTGTACATGTTGTTATTACAGAACAATGGAACACAAACATGTTTAAAATCATTAGATTGTCTCATACGAGACATATATTTAGTGAAATGGAATAAAATTCATTTGGATATAAAATTTGTTTGAATATTTGTTATTACTTCAATTCATTGCAAGTTTTTATGTCAACACTAAGAAGTGCTGATATATTGTTACAGCTGCCATTTTTGGGGAGTGACATTCAGTGTCTGCATTTGTAGTAACAAATGCGGTTTGGTGATTGCAGCCATGTCGCATCCTTAATCACTGGTACTCACCTAGTTACGCTGACGATACTTCAGCGTAACAAGATGGAAGAACTTCCGGGCTTCGTTTTCGTTAAGATATTTCTATTTCTCGATTTTACATCACTTATATCTCAAGTTGTGGACAATAATTTGGCTCAAAGTTAAGGAAGATAGTATAGTTTGAGAATATACATGCGGTTTTATGTTTGGTATATTAACAAAAACGCAATTCACATATTTAGTCCCTCGCTTTTGTTACGTTGACAATCCTCATGAATATTGCCAATGTGATGTTGACGAAGACACTTTGTTACATTGATGAATGAAAAATGTTGATCTTTGGAATGTCATGTGGTATCAAAAGCTCCAGATCCAGGCTCATAGATTTGTGGCATGTAGCCGGGTCATTTGTAAAGCTGAAGCTAAGATAATGAATCAAAATCTTGTAATTATTCTCATATATATTCTTATAATATGTGCATTCCATTCCAATATTAATACAAAACTGACATCCTATTCACAATTTAATTCATTAGAGGCTCAAATAACTGTGGATGATCTGATAGCGTTACTGGAAGAGCGTTGCCTTGGCCTGGGGACCTCCTGTTATGCACGGGTTCAAAATGGGGGAACCATTTTAATTTTTCATGAGTTCCAATCATCAACAATTGTGGAAATGCGAAGATATTTTCTTTATGGTCCAATTTCTTCCCTCTCTCACATAACAAAAGTTATGTCGATCTGCTCTGTGTCATTTTCCCTCATAGACAAGGATCTCACAGATATATTCAGTGATCATTGGCAGCTGACAACTATGGATCTCATAGACACATACAGGAGCTTACATGGATCTCAGATATATTCAGTGATCATTGGCAGCTGACAACTATGGATCTCATAGACACATACAGGAGCTTACATGGATCTCATAGACATATTCAGTGATCATTGATAAGGGGAGAAGGTTACCCCACTCTCAAATATTCTCTATCTAATATACAGTCATGTAGGTTACAGAATAAAAGAGGGAGGGGTGACTTACTCCCTATATCATTGAAAACTAAATGATAAATGAATGAACGCAAGGAGCTCACACGTTAAAACTCACGATCTCATGGTTACGGTGATGAAGCCTAGATTAGCGTGTTCAGTACTGTACTCTAGACTGCTCCGCCAACTTGACAGCCCCAAAACGCTGCTTACATCAGCTAATCTGACTGAAGGGAACAGGTAGTCATAGTCATGTACAGTGATCATTGAAACTATGGATATCATAGACATATTTAGTGATCATTGAAAGCTGAGCATGAGAGCTATGGATCTCATGGACAAATACAGGGATGATTTGGAGCTGACAACAATAGATCTCATGGACATATACAGTGATATTTTGGAGCTAACAACTATGGATCTCATCGTCATGTACAGTGATAATTGAAACTATGGATATCATAGACATATTTAGTGATCATTGAAAGCTGAGAGCTATGGATCTCATGGACATATACAGTGATATTTTGGAGCTAACAACTATGGATCTCATCGTCATGTACAGTGATAATTGAAACTATGGATATCAAAGACATATTTAGAGATCATTGAAAGCTGAGAGCTATGGATCTCATGGACATATACAGTGATATTTCGGAGCTAACAACAATAGATCTCATCGTCATGTACAGTGATAATTGAAACTATGGATATCATAGACATATTTAGTGATCATTGAAAGCTGAGAGCTATGGATCTCATGGACATATACAGTGATATTTTGGAGCTAACAACTATGGATCTCATCGTCATGTACAGTGATAATTGAAACTATGGATATCATAGACATATTTAGTGATCATTGAAAGCTGAGAGCTATGGATCTCATGGACATATACAGTGATATTTTGGAGCTAACAACTATGGATCTCATCGTCATGTACAGTGATAATTGAAACTATGGATATCATAGACATATTTAGTGATCATTGAAAGCTGAGAGCTATTGATCTCATGGACATGTACAGTGATATTTTGGAGCTAACAACTATGGATCTCATAGTCATGTACAGTGATAATTGAAACTATGGATATCAAAGACATATTTAGTGATCATTGAAACCTGAGAGCTATGGATCTCATGGACCTATACAGTGATAGTTTGGAGGGGACAACTGTGGATCTCATGGACATATACAGGGATGATTTGGAGCTGACAACTATGGATCTCATGGACAAATACAAGGATGATTTGGAGCTGACAACTATGGATCTCATAGACATATAGTGGTAATTTGGTACAGACACTTAGGAACTCATTGAAACCGATAATTTTTATCTTGGTTTCATTTGATCACTAATGACGCTTTACTAAAAATATTTGGAATCTTGCTGAAGTCTAGTTCTTAATGAGATTTGAATTGTTAACTATTAAAAACCTTTTTTTTATCTATTTGATGCCAAATTTGAGTTCTGTTACACTAACATTTATTTGCATTTATTTTTCCATATTCAACTTTGTCATGATAAATCCTAATTGACACAACGCATCTTTAAAACTTCAAAACATTTATTCTCTAAGGTATCAGACTTTAAAAGTGAAATCATAATAGGCATTTCAACATTGCCATCTAGTTGCATGCCAATTGGATATATTGATGAATCAAGAAATAAAGGGACTTTTTCTGGTTTTTACATATCATAAACAGTAATTTTGCTTCACCAAAACCTCTAATGCCATCTATTTATACAGTAAAACATATAATTAACATCAGAGTCCCAAAAATGTTCATTGATGTAAATTACTAAATAGTAATCTGATAGTAATATATTAAAGAGTTCACTGTACTTAAGTATTCATTACAGAGGGAATTTTATATAGGAGTCAATGTTAAATGCATCTTGAAGTGGTATTCACTAAACATGTGTTTACTTGAGAGACATGTTTCCAGATTCCAGAAACAGGTTTTACTGTATCAATATTCAATATAGCGACTATTCTATTAGAAATATTGCAGTAATAGTGCTCAATTGATAAAAACACAAACTTTATCAATCACTTAAATCTTATTTCTGTTCCAATGTGGGTTCAAGTTTAGCAATGTATTTTCAAAGAATGGAAAAATATTTATATGGCGACAGATTTTATCCCATCTATTGACAGATTGAGTCTTCAATACTATTGGACAGTGGTTTGCCAGTCATTTCATTATTTGATGGACTTCTAATAAAATTACACTAGAGAAAAATGAAGCCAGTCAAAATATTTTAATATTACATATGTTCAAAAATAGTAAACAAAAGTACAGTAGTCAATGTTAAATCATGATTTTTGTACACATGTTATATATGTGTTGTTTTCTCCAAGGTAAAAATTGCATAGAATATGTAATGGCAGTCAATAACTGAGTTCTATCATCCATACAGCCTGGGTAACAGTCCACAGATTATGATGAAGCTGTTCTCTCCAAGGTAAGGTATGCACACAATACATAATAGCAGTTTCACCATCATTACAGTCTGGTAACAGAGTCACTAGTCATTAGTGGTGCCACAGAAGAGTATGGCAATGTTGTTCTGACCAAGGCAGGGATTGCGCACAATATGTAATGGCAGTCCATAACTATGTTCTTCTACAATTGTTACTTGTAGTCTAAGTAATATGTGGATACGATGATAACATTGTTCTCTAAAAGGTGAGGGGCAAACCTGAAAGTACATAAAATGAGGGAAATCAACAATACTCATCATTAGAGAACTTGGCATTTACATGCAAAATGTCATCCTGCCATTTGTTAGAAACGCCAATTCAACAATTAGCTAATCATTGAACAAAAATCTAATTTGGCAAATTGTAACTTAAAATGCTTAAAAGACTAAACTATTAAAATGACCATTACAATATTGAAATTATCAACCCTTTGTGGGTGCAACATCCCTGTTGCTACTTTAAATGCACATACCTATAACTAGAACCAGTAGCAATAGTAGATACATACACTCAGGCAAACAGCTGACCCAGATCATTGATTCACTACAAAACTCCACAACCAGGGTAGAAATTGTTGTGACCTGAAAGTACTTAAAAAAGGAAAAAAGTCAGCAATGATTTGACTTTTTTCCTTAAAAGAAACAAGTAAATATACCCATCTCACTGAAATGGCCATTTTTCAGATAATTTACATATTACTTTTAAGAGAATGCATGAACATGCAAAATGTCACCACTGGCCATTTGTTAAAGATGCACTTAGTTACAGTAAGCCGAACACTAATTGATTACTGCCTTCGAGAAGTTTTGTCCACCCATCAGTTTGAGAATATAACAATATGTCAGCACTTCTGTAGTGACATAAAAACCAAATCATTGCCCAGTAAGTATAGTTTACTAATAAAAACTATGAACAAAAATGATATCATTACTGAATTAATTTTCAAATTGTTGCTTCTGTAGTGACATGAAAATCAAACCATTGCCCAGTAAGTACAGTTTACTAAGAACTATGAACAAGAATCATATCCTTACTGAATTATTTTTCAAGTTGTTGCTTTAAAAGCTA